TATATATATATATATATATATATCTTGATATATGATCTTGAAAAAGACCCAGCAGGGTCGAAACGTCGATCGATTTCTATATGCATTCTATTATTTAAATAAAACACTATTTTCACTCTTTGGAACACCTGTGAGTGCATCCTGTTTTTACCTACCATATATATATATTTTTTTTTATTTATTTTTTTTAAATTTATTTATTTATTTATTTTTTAAATATATATTTTCAGTTTTGGTGTGATCTACATATAAGTAATACCAGATGATATGATCAGTAATACAATAAGCGTACATTGATAAATTGACTCACAGATGATCCGTTTGTATTATGCATGAAAGCCTATGATCTAAAAATGTTTGTTTTACTATGGATAAAATGTTAGCAGTACTATATACCTCTTAGTCTAAGCTCAGAAGAAAACAGTATAGAGAAGGTAATATGACATAGCTATACTAATGATGTGCTGTAAATTCTGCTAAAAGATTACAAAATATATAAAGTATTACAGGATAGTGTTACACCTAACTACAGAAATTAGCAGCATGTTTGGATATTAGTAAAATTTTGAGGCAGGGCAGGGAAAAAGTTGGTCTTAAAAGCAGTCTAAGAGCTTTTTAACAATGTATTCGAACATTGTTAAAAAATACAGAAAATAAAATTGTTGAAATTTAAAACAACCTAACTGATGAGGAACACATTGATACTAGCATATCAAGCCACTATGGAGATTTCATGTGTTTACAGCAGCGTACGTGTCCGCAGCAGATTGTCGTGGAGTCAATGTGGTGACATTCGCTGGATACCATTGGTGGGGTGATGTTTTTTCCACACTAGGCCCATTCTGGCCCAGTGAGTACTACAGTAGTCCCATTGTCAAAAGAAGGTCTGACAACCCTTGAAGATCCTGGACTGGATATGAGGAACCACCATGTTCAATAAGAAGGGTGTGGAACATTTACCAATGATAACAGATATTGTGCATTTGGAGGAGCATTGTAAATGGTTGTAGTGACCTCTGCCATGCCATTATACCATCAGAGAGGTGTGCATAAATGGTAAGAGATATTATCTCGAAGTTGTAAGGAACATTCCCCTTGATGACCACCAAGATTGTAACTTTATACCTACTGTTTTAAAAGTGGGTTACCAAGTCTCATGCCATAGTGACTGGAGGCCTGGCCAGCTTGGAGAGATTAGAGAAGCCATCCAACCTCACAGCTTTATTTTGCCTCGGATATGTCTTTTTGCTGATGATACTAAGATATGTAACAGGGTTGATGTTCCAGGAGGGATAAGCCAAATGGAAAATGATTTAGGTAAACTAGAAAAATGGTCAGAATTGTGGCAACTGACATTTAATGTGGATAAGTGCAAGATAATGCATCTTGGACGTAAAAACCCAAGGGCAGAGTACAGAATATTTGATAGAGTCCTAACCTCAACAATTGAGGAAAGGGATTTAGGGGTGATTATTTCTGATGACTTAAAGGTAGGCAGACAATGTAATAGAGCAGCAGGAAATGCTAGCAGAATGCTTGGTTGTATAGGGAGAGGTATTAGCAGTAGAAAGAGGGAAGTGCTCATGCCATTGTACAGAACACTGGTGAGACCTCACTTGGAGTATTGTACACAGTACTGGAGACTGTATCTTCAGAAGGATATTGATACCTTAGAGAGGGTTCAGAGAAGGGGGTTCATGGATTGCGGGATAAAACTTACCAGGAAAGGTTAAAGGATCTTAACATGCATAGCTTGGAGGAAAGACGAGACAGGGGGGATATGATAGAAACATTTAAATATATAAAGGGAATCAACACAGTAAAGGAGGAGACTATATTTAAAAGAAGAAAAACTACCACAACAAGAGGACATAGTCTTAAATTAGAGGGACAAAGGTTTGAAAATAATATCAGGAAGTATTACTTTACTGAGAGGGTAGTGGATGCATGGAATAGCCTTCCAGCTGAAGTGGTAGAGGTTAACACAGTAAAGGAGTTTAAGCATGCGTGGGATAGGCATAAGGCTATCCTAACTATAAGATAAGACTAGGGACTAATGAAAGTATTTAGAAAATTGGGCAGACTAGATGGGCCGAATGGTTCTTATCTGCCGTCACATTCTAAGTTTCTATAATAAAGCAATTGCAGATGCCATAGGAAATGTGGTAATTGCACATTCAGAAAAGACTCCGAAATGCCCCATATCTTTAATTTGTTTCTTCACTGCATGTCCTCTAGGGCTGCAAAGCGCCTCTCAAAAGTTCCATGTTTCTGCTGAATCCACTATATCACCTGCTGCAGGAAGGTGAGTTGGTGGTTGCAATTACGAGAGGTGTTTTCCAAGACCACAAGTTGGCCTGTCAGGCTTTGTAAATCATGAAGCATAGCCACATCGGTTACATTTTTTTTCTAAAGGTTCACCAAGAGATCCTTCAGTACTGTTGTCGAGGCCAGAAAAGACTCTGGTCTTGATGTTGGGAGCCATTGTAGCAGATACGTCTTCTTCCTCTACTCCAAGGGACAAATCATCCAATAGGTCACAGCCATCCTCAGGGTAGTAGGCCATCTTGTTTCTCACTATAGTTTCTTGGGTTTCTGTTTTTTGGTCTTGTAACCCATTGTGTAACTTTGTTGAAACTCTGAAGGATATGAATAAACACTTAAACACTTTTTTCATCTAGAAATGTGTTTATATTTGATACTTCACATGCTTCTAGGGATAGAAAGCCTCTAAATAGGTGGATAACTGCCACTCTGATCATCTCAACTGGACAGTTTGCTGTCTCCCGGGTGCTTGGGTATAGCATGTTGCTGAAAGAGTGGATGGATTATTGGGAGGGACTGGGAAAGACCCAGCTGTCATGGTCCATATTGGTACCAATGACACAGTTAGAGAGAGATAGGGGACCTCAAAGAATGAGTTCAGGGAATTAGGTAACAAATAATGTTGATTTTTTGACCAACATTCAAGTAGGGGAGCACTTGGGAAATAGTGATCACAATATAGTGTCCTTTGATATAAAGTAAAAAAAACAAAAACACACTTGGTATACTAAAACATATCATTTTAAAAAGGCCAATTTTAATAAGATAAAGGTAGCTTTACAATATATTGACTGGCATAAACTCTTTCGTGAAAAAAACCCAAAGGATAAATTAAATATCTTCAAAAAAATATTAGAAAGGTACATTTCTTAGTATGTACCATTTCGTAATAAATATAAAAGAAACAAATTGAAATCAGTGTGGTTAGTGGCAAAGTATATCAGGAAATAACAATGAGAAAAGCGCATTTAAAGCCTTTAAATCGGACAAATTAGAGGCATCATGTATAAGTTCTAAGGAAACCAATAATGAGTGCAAAAAGGTGATTAGAGTCGCTAAACTACAGAATGAGGAAGTGATAGCCAAAGAGAGCAAAACAAACCCCAAAACATTTTTAAGTACATACATTTAAATAAAGTAATTAAAGTGTAGGTACGCTGAAAACTAGGGGTGTTATTTAAAATGTCTACCTTTTCCTGGTCTTCATTAACTAACTATTTCTCCTTACTATATATTAAGGAAGAACCTATGGCTAGAGATATGCAAATGATTGATGCAAAAAAAAAAAAAAAAAACTTGCAGAAAAAATAGTGAATGGATGAATGAAGACAAGGTGCTGCACAACTATCGGAAGATAATATAAACAAAGCTCCAGGGCCTTATGGTATTAACCCACGTGGAAAAAATGTTTACCTCTCTTTTTAATCTTTCAAGATTCTTTTCTTTCAGGAATTGTACCGGAGGATTTAAGGCAGGAAGATGTGGTTCCAATATTCAAAAAGGGTTCAAAATCCTTGCCAGGGAATGAGAGATCTATGAGCTTAATTTCTGTGGCTAGGTGAAAGGTTTTTAAGGGATAATATTCAGGAATTAATTGAGAAGGACATTATCAGCAAAAATCGGCATGGTTTTATGAAACATAGGTCATGTCAACCTAACTTAATTGCATTCTACGAAGAAGAGTATAGATCAAGGTGTTGCAGTCGATGTGATCTACTTGGATTTTGCCAAGGCCTTTGATATGGTTCCACATAATAGGTTAGTGTCGAAACTGACAAAAATTGGCCTAGATGAAAATTCTTGATCAGGAATTCATTGAGAAGAACATTATCAGCAAAAATCAGCATGGTTTTATGAAACATAGGTCATGCCAAACTAACTTAATTGCATTCTATGAAGAAGAGTATAGATCAGGGTTTTGCAGTGGATGTGATCTACTTGGATTTTGCCAAGGCGTTTGATATGATTCCACAAAATAGCTTAGTGTTCAAACTCACAAAAATTGGTCTAGATGAAAATTCTTGATCTTGGATAGAACATTTTGGGTGACACGCTCAGACTCTGTATTTGTATTTTTCACTTTGACAACCAGTAAAGGACCACCTGCACATGTAAAGGGAGTGGGATCCCTTTTGATTATCCCACAGGCGCCCAGATTGAGCCATAATTCCCTGGCTCTCTCCTTGTGAGTACAACAATATTGGCTCTATACTGTATTACTCTCATACTGTATGATATTGCACTAGGTGCCTGTCTACCATTGTATTTTTACAGTTATTCCATCTGTATCTGTATCTGTACTACCATCTGTTACCCTGTACCGAGATACTCCACCCATTATGTATGTATATATTTTGGATAGAACATTGGCTTAAAGATAGAGTAAAGAGAGTCAGATTGCAATTACGTTCCTGGGATTTCAGGTGACATGCAATGTACAATGGATGTGAGGAACCTTTAGTTGGGATCTTACTTTGTTATATTAGATGGTCCTTGGATTATGTACCTATGTCAACCAGAATACAAATATATTTTTAAGTAAACTTTTTCATTTACACTTCCAAGGACTCAATGGTCATTCAATGGTTATTCGGTGAGCACAGTTTATCAACGTATATTATAGTACAGAAGTTCTCTGTTATTTCAAGTGCAGATGTTAAGATTTGTGAAATATAATCCGATGTACTTTATTAAGATCACATGTGGAATGAGTTACATTATAATATTATATGCACATAATTAACATGCACTTTGATTAAGAGCTATGATTGAAGGACATTACTTTAATAAATAATACAAATCTCCATTGGCTGCAAAAATCTATAGGAGATATTTTAAAAAAACAAAACAAAACTATATACTACTTCACTATAAGAATAATGGCAAGATATTTTAATATATTTTAATACAAAGCAATTTCAAATAGAACTGGCATGACTTGTGCAGACATGAGAACTGTGACTAATTAAAGCATAATGATCATGCCTTTAAAAAGAAAAGTGTGCAACCTTTTCAGTGGACTTAATATTGCTATAAATCTACAAATGTAGCATATCCATCCACCTCTTAGTGTACAAAATGTCATATGCATGGGCGTCCGCAGGGGGGGGCAAGAGGACTTGCCCCTGAATTTTTCAGCTTGTGCTGCTATTTTTGGTTTGTATGAGAATACACTGGGGCTGTGAATGTTAAAAGGCAGGAAGCTACAGCTTATCCCTGCCTCCCACTCATGACTGAAACCGCAGGGGAGCAGTACAGAGGCAGCCTACAGATCAGGTAAGTGAGGGATGGGGGAAACCTACAGATCAGGTAAGTGGCCTGTCAGGCTTTGTAAATCATGAAGCATAGCCACATCAGTTACATTTTTTTTCTAAAGGTTCACCAAGAGATCCTTCAGTACTGTTGTCGAGGCCAGAAAAGACTCTGGTCTTGATGTTGGGAGCCATTGTAGCAGATAAGTCTTCTTCCTCTACTCCAAGGGACAAATCATCCAATAGGTCACAGCCATCCTCAGGGTAGTAGGCACTATTACCCCCCTCACCACCCACAGCATCACCCCCTCACTATTACCCCCCTCACCACCCTCAGCATTACCCCTGTCAGCATTACCCCCCTCACTCTTACCCCCTCCCCACCCTCAGCATTACCCCCCTCACCTCATTACAATTCCCCTCAGTATTACCCCCTCACCCTCCCCTCACATCATTACCCCCTCTCACTCACCCTCAGCATTACCCCCCTCATCACCCACAGTATTCCCATTACCCTCTCCCTCCTCAGCATTACCCCTACCACCATCCTCTCCCTCAGCATTACCGCCTCACACCCTCACCATCATCCCCTTCCTCAGCATCACCCCTGACCACCCTCAGCATTATTACCCTCCCTCAGCATCACCACCCTCAGCATTACCTCCACCATCACTCCCTCCCCTCAGCATCACCCCCTCACCACCCACATCATTACCCCATCACCCCCTCACACCCTCCATCACCATCACCCTCCCTCAGCATTACTCTCCCTCACCATCACCCCCTCTCACCATCACCCGCCTCTCCCTCTCCCTCTCACCATCACCCGCCTCTCCCTCTCACCATCACCCCCCTCTCTAAGCAGCTACCCAATACCCATAGGGTACCAGACAAAAATGCAAACATGCCCACAGAGACATACATTCACACACACACACAGACACTCTCTGTCAGACACACTCTCAGGCACATACACAGGTAAACTGTGCATCAATGTGTATATGTGACAGTGTGCATGTATTGCAACTCTATTTTTTTTTTTTTTACTTTTTTGTTAGTGGGGCCTCATGTTTGAGTTTCACCTAAGGCCTCATAAAGTCTAGAGCCGCCTCTGCAGAAGGAGCCTCAGAAGAAAAAGAAGACTGTGTCAAATGAAGGAGAAGAAAATGAGATTGGGGCACTTCATTCTAGACACATCATAAGGCTTTGGTACCTGGGCCTGGCAGGGAAACTTTGGACCTTCTCATCTCCCCAGGTAAAAAAAAAAAATATCAGTGTTAATGTGTTCACTTTAATTTACTGAGTGTCAGGAAACACAGAGGGCCGCTGGGTAGGGGTGCCACTGATTGGCTAGAGGGTCAGCTGGCACTCTAAACCAATCAGTAGCTCCCCATTCATGAAAACGTAAAACATTTTTATGAATAGGGAACTAGCGATTGGCTTAGAGCATCAGCTGACAACTCTAGCCAATCAGTGGCACCCATGCCTGACGTCAACCTGCACTTCCTGACACTCCGTTTAAGAAGCATAATACCACTGAGCGACCTGGAGATCTGGAGCTGGAGGAAGCCTTTCGGGGTAAACCATTTGAGAGTGGTTTCACCCCTTTAAAGGAAAGAGAGCGCCCAGGGGCCTCCTTGCATCATAGCATTTTCATTTAGTTGAAGTTGTTATGGTGACCAGAATGTTCCTTTAATTTGATTAAAGGAACACTATAGTGTCAGGAATACAAACATATATTCCTGACACCATAGTTATAAAAAAGCTACTCACCCTGGCTTTATGTGAAAATGTCTATGTTCCTTCCCTTTCGTGACACTGTCAAAAAGGGGCCAAGCATGGATGTCATTACAATTATGTCCCCCCCCCCAACCCAGGAAAAATTCCTGTGGACGCCCATGGTCTTATGTGATATTTTTTGTTTTTGTTTCTGTGTATAAAATCCATTCGGCAAAGACAGAAAAAAAGCCTATCGGGTAAACAACGTGATTTATATCCTTGGTTCTACAAGAATAAGAAAGGAATGCAAGACTCTTACCTTTATATAAGTTATCATCATCCTCCTGGGATTCCAGTTCGGCCTGATTGGCACAATTATTCTTAATTTGGTATTTCTTAAGATGTATTTATTGATTTTACAAGCATTGTGGCCAGGCTTTAATATTTTTGGATATGTTTTTCAAATGATCTGTAAGAAAAACATACCAAGTGATTTATCTACAAACATCCCAATAGACTTACTGGTAACTTCTGAGTAGAAACCATTTGGAAAATGTCTCTAACAAATTTGAATAATTGAAAATGTTTATCCAAAAATATTAAATGTATGCCCATATTAGGACAATAATGCAAGTGATGACTGGCAAACTAAATGGATATAAGACCTCCCCATGCTAACATAATCCTTAGCACAGCAATTATTACAGTTCTGTAAGGATACTAATGAAAAAGAACAAAAAAAAAGCTATTTTATATGAAACTATGCAGGTACAATAAAGAAGGTCTGTACTGGCTGGCCATAGATCTCATTTTGTTTTTATGATATATGGAATACAGGTTTTGTAAAAATAATCTAGATACAATAGTATGTTGGGTCCTGAACTGTTTGAGATGTATATAGCAAGTTTCACAAAAATGAAAATGAGTTACATTACCCAACTGGCATAACAAGTTCCTTTCATACCTCTATCCATACTTTACCTAAAATTTGATGAAGGCCAGGGACTAATGAAAGTATTTAGAAAATCAGGCAGACTAGATGGGCCGAATGGTTCTTATCTACCGTCACATTCTAGGTCTTTTTTATTTTTATAAACTTACTTAAATGAAGCAAATGTCAAACTGGGCACAAAAGGCCTGTTATTAGGCAAAGTTGCTGAAAATTCTAAAAAAATCCTGGGCATTGTTGTAACATTTTTATCAATTAATAAAGTTTTTTGACATTTGACCGGACTCTCAAATCAGCTTTCAAAATGATCATAAGCCACAAAATAGTATAGTTAATTTAATATTACTGCTGGTTTTACTGCTGAAAGCATATAACATTATTGAGTTAAATCAGGGGTGTACTGGAGATATACTTGTTAATCTCTCAATGTTAAACTAATACAGCGACTGAAAAAAAACAAACTACTGTAATTTTTGATAGGCCAATATTGCTAAAAACAAACAAACAAAAAAAGCAAGCCTATAATTTTTGTAGGATTTTAAATATATCACAAGTTGAAGATTACAGTCGACCAAGTGCAGTAGTGATGTGAATAGGTGAGTCATTACGTTCCCTACGGACATTGCATTGAGCCTGAGTTACATCTAAATGGACATTTTCAGGTATTGTAATTACAATGCCTGCTTGACCTTTAACTTGTTTCACTGATTAATTGGGATTCATTAGCTAATATTGCTAGCACATGTCATAATGCCACAGGAGATATTGTGGTGGTTGTTCTGCTCATGCCCAAGCAATTTGAGAGCATTGTTTAATTGTTGGAACATTGATTTCAGTGATATTGCCATTTTAGGCACAGAATTCAATGCCCAATAGTTTTTGGCTAACCTTTGCAGTTCAATAAAACCAGAGAGCAGAATAGGATTTTAACAATAAATAAATATAGTCATTGATCCTTGAGGGGTTAAATGAATAGCAGTGAGTTGCAGGTAGTTTTACAGAGCAGGGTAAAAACTTAATATAAGAATGCACTGGAACTTCTCGCCCGACTCTACTGAAGCCTATGATACAGTATAAATGGAAAAACAATCAAGCATTCATAAATGATAATTACAATTCACAAAGACAGATAGTGAATGCAGACAGAACTATCATCTATGAACAGAAGCAAGTAGCATAATGCGCCTTAGAGAAGGATGAACGAGCTTTCGATATCCATCATTGTACTGTTCAATTCCTTGTTGCACATGTGTCATTGAGAGCATTAATATATGTGATTTAACCCATTAGTGATTGAGGTTAATGCTTTCCCAGGAAGAGAATCCAGTTGGCCAGCACAGCGATTGTTTCGTCCAGATGATCTCATAAGATGGTGAAGCAGAGGCTGCAGTAAGACCTGGACAATAATGGATGAAAGGTGAGTTAATTTTTGTTGTTTTTTTTGTTTTACAGGGGAGGGGGGGGGGGGCTACATTTAAACAGCCAGAGAAACAGTCGTTTCCCTTTAGCATTTAAACATTGGTTATATAGAGTAACAATTAAAAAGACACTAGATATGATAAACACTTCATCTCATTGAAGCAGTTATAGTCCATGTAGACTCCTGCACCATCCCGCTAATTCAGCATTAAATGGTTTTCAAATGATTAAACACCAAGTGAGGTTCCACAGAAGCCCAGAGCCTGACACAACCACAGCCTCAGGATTATACTTCCCCACAGGCCAGAGCAGCGATGGACATCTGAGATAGGCTAAGAGCATCAGCTGATCACTTTCAGTCTATGATAGCCACCCAACCAGAGCACTCTGACTTACATGGGAATGCTTTTTGTGATTTAAAAAAAAAAAGAAATTAATTTTAATTGTAGCATCAGTTACTATGGATTTGTATTTGGTCTTTTGCAGGGCTGAAGAAATTATGAATTATGAAAAATTCAAGATATTTAAAGAAAAGTATGCAATTTATTGGTCTCACTATTATTAGGGTGAGGGGGTAGGTAGATTTTTTGTTTATTTGGGGCAACCTTACCTACAATTTGGGGGCTGGACAATGGTATGACTACTGTATTCAAGCCTGAAACTGTAAAACTGCATGCTGTTAAACTCAGAAAAACAAGCAGCCTGCTGACATGTGCCTGATCCAATCACGGTGCTTCCCCATAGGATTGGCTGAGACTGACAAAGGGGCAGAGCCAGCATGATTCAAACACAGCCCTGGCCAATCAGCATCTCCTCATAAAGATGAATTGAGTCAATGGATCTCTATGAGGAAAGTTCAGTGTCTGCATGCAGAGGGAGGAGATACTGAATCACAGGATGCTGTGCACAGTGCTGCCCTGTGCTCTGCTGACAGCAAATCTGAGTGGATGGATCAACTCCAAAGTCCCTCTGGTTCACTCTGAGTGACTGCAACTGGAGGTGTTCCTAGTTTTCAATGTAAACACTGTATTTTCTCAGAAAATACAGTGTTTACATGAGAAAGGCTGCAGGGAGCTATAGTTCTTACCCGAACAACCTCATTAAGCTGAAGTTGTTCAGGTGACTATAGTGTCCCTTTAAGCCCAAACTGAATTCCACATGTAGGGGCATGATGAGGACCTGTGCCTGGTCCCCATGGTATTTTATTAGCGACCGGGCAACAATAGTTGCCTAGTAGGTAGTTTTATTATTGTGAACAGCTACTGGCCACTGCATGGTGGGTGGGGGTATAAGGGAGGTATGGAAATTCCCTATTATAAATATGTGGGTAATACTGGGAGCCCCTCATAATTTCCCTATGGTTGCTAGAGTTTCCTGTGGGCCAATATTAAAACAAAAAAAAAAACCTATCAACTGCTTTTAGCTGCCAAACCTGATAAAGCCATGTATCTGTTGCTATGTAACCTATACATGGAATTTAATCACCTTGATTGATATTTTCAACAAAAAGTATTTGTATAAGTTTCAATATTGCAACAGGTAATTATCTTCCGACAGCCTTTAAAGACACCCATTTAATCGATCCAAAGTGATAAACGGCTTTTCGGGAGCTGGTAACATCCCGATAAAGGCCATCGGCACTGATTTAGTTGAGGGCTGTGTTAAGTATAGGATTGGTAATATCAGAATGAAAGAAGAACTGGACCAGCTTTGTAAAGCCAAACTCATATTTAGATATGATCACAAGCATAATAATTAACTGTTAACAGTGTAAACCCATATATATATATATATATATATATATATATATTTTTTAAATAATGTAATAATAGACCAGCTTTATAATTGAGACATGATGTGTGATGTATCCCTTATTAAGGGATTTGTTTCCAGGATTTTGCAAGAAAACACTTTTATTGCATCTCACCTTTTAATGGAAAGTAGCCAAAGTGACTTAGCATAGGACCCACCTCAGACGGTCTGCCTTGGACTTGGCAGATGAGTTTACAGTTTGATGCCCATTTAAATGGGTGATCCAAACCTCTCTTACTTAAAATGTACGTTTGGGATCGTGCTTGGGCAAGTTTTATTTAGTTTGTTTTGTTTATACATGATAGCAGCATACTATAGCCAGTATGGGTTCCCTATGTGTTTATAGTAATATAGCAGTCTTTTGAAGCATTAATAAGAAGCAGACTCGTGTGTTGACGACAACTGCTCGTTATCTTTCTTCTTCTTTTATTGCATTTATCTATCCTTGCTTTTGAGCCTGCAATAACAGCCATTATGTATAGTGTATTCAATATGCTTTACAAGAGTGCTGCACATGTGAGGATGTTGTAGCAGAGAAATGGTACCTATTGCATCTCCACGCTCTCATTCCCATCCTTCCTTCTCTCTCCTCCATTCAATTCACTTATTCTCTATATTAATTTAGTGAACTGCTTTTGACACATACAACCAGCCACTTCCCTCATTATGATTTGTAAACATCTAAAATCCACTTTTATGGACTTCTTTAGGTACCCCATTGTTCCCGTGCCTTACAGTTTAATTTTTTTTTTTTTTTAAACTGGTTAGCTTTTCTTCTAAAACTTTGCCTTCACCTCATAGCTGGCCTTATCTTTTCTTAACTGCCAGCATAATCTAAATTGGTTCAATTTCATTTGATAGTGTTCGTATTGTTTTGCTTTAATGTTTAATGACTTTTTTTTTTTTGCAAAGCAACTATTTAAATGTAGTATTAAAAATAATTTCCGCACATTACATCACTGTGTGTGAAATAAGGAATACTATTACATTTTTTAGACAAATCTGCTTTCAGAAGTCATCAAAATGTAAGTTTAGTGTATGTGTAAGATAACAAACACCCCGTTAATAATATTAAAGTTGATGATTAACTGCCGGGCACTATATGTGGTATACAGTAGTGATGTAGGTGTATAATACTATATTGGAAGTATGAGTACAACTAACAGTAAAAGTCATAAAATGGGATTCCAATAAACAAAAACATGATACAATTTATTTTAGTTGTTTATTCAAATCCTCACCAGGAAGTGAACAACACGATTTAAAAAATAATAATAATAAAATAATCACACTGCATTATTTACAAAGTTTGCAACGCCACAAGAGAAAACAAAATCCATTAGGACAGCAACAGATAGCTTTGGCACCTAAACATATTTGTAAACTACATGTCCCATGATGCTTATCAGCATATAGGCTGGCACTGAAATGCAGTTAGTACAACATATGAGGAGATGCCAAGGTTAACTATCGCTGCACTAAAATACATCACAATTAAACAGTTTTCTGTAAACCTCAGTATTCATCCATGACTGGAAGAAAAAGATATTATCTAGCAACACTATATTCATCTCAATTTCCATATTCTCATTGGAATTTTGATTTTTAGAAAATGTATAAAATATTAATCACATAACATTACAGTTTGGGATTTTCCAATTAAGTCTGCTTGTTTTTCTTTAATCTGTTTAATGCAGCACATCCCTCCCCTTCCCCCACAAAATTAACATACTATATAAGATAACATGTGAAAACAAAATCATATCAGTAGTTTAGATTGGCATGTGATCAAAGGTAAAATGCACAGGGCCTCTTCCCACACGTTGCACATGCAAAAGATAATCACAGATTCTTAAATAAAAGGCAATCTGCACATTCTCCCATTTACATTGCAACTATATGCACACATGCAAAAGATGTTGGACACTTGTCCCTATATACATGTAAAGACAGGCTATGTAACCCAAGAGATTTTATTTAGAACAATACAAAACCCTCTATTTTACTTTACTATGGAAACATTATTTACATTATTTAAATAAAAAAAAAAAAATCAATTCATAACTGATGTATATTTACATTTTAACATTATGTACATATTTTCAACAGTAAATAGGCTACAACATATTTTGTAAGTAAATGTTCAAAAATAAATTTCACATTAACCTCTAGAGTGAAGCATTGTGATTTTTGTCTCCCCCTAAATATTGTGTTTTTATTTTTCAAAACTTAGTTGAACTAAAATGTCAAGCTTAGGTAAAACAGTCAACTAGCTAGCCATCCTCCCCTCCCCCAAATATTTTACTTAAATTGTAAATTACAGAGAATGAAGGAAATGAAACCATTCTGTAAATTAAAATTAACAGCTTACGTTTTATATGCTCCTATTTACATAGGATACATCTTTTAGGCACAAAACAAGTGATGAAATTTCAAGCGTGAATAAGAATTTTTAAAATAATTTTTATTTCTTTTTTACAAAAGTTAGCTGCCTCTTATTTGAAAGTTTATAATCTATTTTGAATGCTTTATATATACACATATATATAAAATGTTATATATCTTATATGATATATAAGATATTTGCTTACAAGTAAAACCCCTATGGATAAACAGTGTTAGATTATTTTATAATTTTTTTTGTTTTTTGCTTACTGGCAAAAAAAAAAAAATAGATAATGGTCTAAAATACACAGCATGCAAGTTATGAGTGAATGAGCATTTAAAGCAAGAAGAAAATGAATGAGTATTCTGAACTGCCAACAGATCTGGAAAATAAAACTCATCTACTGTTTATTAAAGGTCTCTGTGACTTGTCCTTGGGATGGCAAGGAAGGTTACTTTGGAAATAGCATGTAATATTTCCTGGTTTAGTCAACCTTGATCTGTTAGTAGCCAAGATTTTCTCCAAATAACACAACAGATTATTACTGATGTAATTGTAGACTTGGGCTATATGAGGTTCACACCGAACACCAGAATCACTACAGACTGCGTTAGCCGTTATCATGCCAGGACTACCCTGACATTGACCCACTGTAAGATGTCCAATTTATTTTTAACGGATTGACAACTGCCCTGGTGCTTTTGGGCACCTCTGTATTCTCCAGTTGGAAAGTCGTATGTTGCTGCTTAGAACAAAGCAGGCCCTCAATCACTCGTCAAGACCATCAGCTTTGCTTTGCTCTATAATAGCAATCTAGCTTTTCCTGCTGCAGAAGACAAGATGGAGCATGGGCGCCAGGCAGGACCCAGTTAAGTTTTCAAACCATGCTTTGACATCTTACCATGGAATAGTGACAGGGTTTTCCTGACACCATAACCACTACAGCAAACTGTAGTATAAGCAAAATTATGGTGGGATTGGAGCTTTCCTTTCAAGTAATACAAATTGTTAAAATGGGACACAGAAAAACCTACCATGAACAGTCTCAACTCTTTCTTAATCAAACTGTGATGCAGCACCACAGCTCTTAAGTGGACAAAATATTTGTTCTATTAATAATTGCAATAAAATATGAACTTAAAAAAACATAAAGTGGATTTTTTTCCCATTTGATTTCTAGACTTGTTTTAAGACTGGAGAAAACAGGGGTGTCCAAAAAAATTTGAACATCTCAGTGCAATAACATACAGACGCCTGAAAATACTCACCACTGAACTACAATTTTTTTTTTTTTAGGGATGATATAGCCAGTAAAAAGCTCAAAAAAAGGAACGTAGCATTTCAGGGAACTAAGAAATTGGAGTTTGACCTTGAGGAACAAGAGACTCTATGGCCAAGCAAGCCTACAATGCAACTTTTTTATTTAGGAAATTGATTTAAAATTTTTTGTGTACTACAGTATAAACTCCAGGAGAATGTAAATTCAGGGCATCGTTTAAATAATTATTCATTGAATATGATCACTCAGGAGTCTGAATGTAAACACACAAATGCAAGATGAAGGAAGGTATGTAAACCTTTTACATAGACACCAATATCTTAACTCTGGTTTATATTAATGATCTCACTGTTGTATCTCTTTATAGACAGGTTCACATTAGGACACGTTGCAGCTGGATAGAATAGGAGGAGCGAGTTGGAAACGAAGATACATGTTTAATATAAACCAATTATTTTTAATTGCCTTCATAAGAACATTCATTTAGAAATCTACATGTGTGTTTAAAATACAGGTAAACTTTTATAAATTTAGGCTCAAAGATGAATTTTTTAAAAAAAATTTTTTAAACCAGGTTACGCCCTTACATTAACTCTATAGGGCTTATTGTAATTGTAATATTTAATAATTAAAGAAAGCATTAAAGATGAACATTGAAAGTCACTGGTGATGTGTTTCCATGTGATGCTCTAATTTTATTTTAAATGTTTATTAAAAGATTTAGCAAATTACATCATAATCCAATTGAACCAAGGCACCGGGCAAGGGCACAATTTGCAAAGGAGCGAGAAACCAGAAACTCTCTATGATGATTGTAAGATCAGGAGCAGCATTATAATAATGATTTACAGGGATCTAGGATGGAGCAGCTAAGGTCCAGGTCAGAGAAGTGTGGATTCCACATCTACATTTTTCAGAACTCATAAAACACTATTTATTAAAGGTACACTCCAAACACTATAACCACTACAGCACACTGTAGTGGTGTCAGGTGTGTCCTGTTCCCTCTTACTATAAGTCAAGTCAAAAATTTGCAAATGGTTTGAAAACCAATCTGAAGGTCCGCCAGGTGCCAGTCTAAGAGAGCCAGAATATTATGCACAGAGCTTTGATTAGCTCCCCAACGCTAGGCCCTGCAGTGAAGTACCGATTCAATGGCGGAGAGTGTGAACTCATCTCTCAGTCAGTAAACTAAGTCCTACATAAGAAGGCTAGCTCAGAGCAGAAAGTTCCTGGCTCTCCTAAAGGAGGTGCTCCGCACCTGGTAGATCACAAGTTAGCTGTGAAACCATTTATAAACAGTTTGACCACTTAATCTTACACGGCACTCCTAATATTATTATTACTAGAGTTTGTTGTAGTGGTTATGGTGCTTGTTGTGTTCATTTATATGTACGGGATAAGTAAACATAATATTAAACATGCTAACAAGGCATATAAGACACAAATAGGCCCCTAAACAATGAGGAAAAAAATAATAACCATTTTACAGAAAAATAAATTGGTTACACAAATAAAAATCTTTTTTGTTTAGGGACATATTTGTGTGTTACATGCCTTGTTAGCATATTTGATAGGTATTTTGAATTAAATTTACAATTTTGGTTATCCTCATTTATAGGTCCCTTAGCATGCCATTTATCTATTTTAGTGGAGGTTTTTTTTGTTTTGTTTTTTTAGGACAAACATAATATTAATCCTGGGAAGTTAAGGTTCTAAGATCAGATCCGTCTCAGGCTGGCTTTTAGTGACAATTTTGTATAATGAATTTCTAGGCTTGTGAGCAAAAAAAACCCCCAAATGTTTAATCTGTTTGCATGATACACTCTTTAAATCACAAAACAATGCTTGAATCGCAGCAGGGAAGATATTTTATCTCAGTCTTCAAAAGCTATAAAAAGGGATTACACAATAATGGGTTGTTTGTATTTTATGCCAAGTTTGAAAAACACAAAAAATTTGTATTTTGTTTTTATCTAAACAGGTGTGAAACCATTTAAGTTTTTATTTTTATTTTTTTATTAAAAAGGTGATTTATTCAGTAAACGGTGAGTTGGTGTGATCCAATGCCTAAATATATGACAAAATGTGTGATGAAAATTACCAAACTCATTTAGGTCTAATTTTGCAAATAACTACATTTTCAGCAATCACTATTTAATAGGTCTAAGAATGTAAGTAATCAAACTTGGTTTGGCAACTTATCTAGGGTCTGCCGGACACTAGTTTCAGCTTCCAGTAGGCTCAGCGCAAAGAATTTCTGGTTCATAGAGGCTGAGACTGGTGCTCGGCCGACCGAAGGTAAGTTGCCGAGCTGTTTGCAAATGGTTTGACTATTTACATTGGGGGTATGGGACTGCCAGGGCTTGAACGAGCCCATAACCTGCCCATGAACTCAAAGAGTAATGTTTCTACATATTCTATCAATAATTAAATAAGATTATATTTGTGTAACAAACATGAAATATAATTCTGTTCTGTAGAGACGGCAATTAAAAACAATAGAAAGGCAAAACAATTCACGTGTTCCAATACATTTTCATGGAAATTATTTGCGGAGAGCTTACATTACTTATCTACACAGTGTCAAACGTGAATTTCCAACTAAGTTTAAAAATTTAAAAAAAAAAATATTTACACAGTGTTATGCTATGAATTTCTGATTAGCGGAAAATGTTTTGTCTTAAGGCAGGGTCTAAGAATCGGATACTCCACTGGAAAGAAGTGTATATATAGCTACTGGGCTGGCAATTTAAATTACAGATGGCAACTACTTCTAATAGAACTTTGCATTTCATTGCAGCATTTAGACCAGAAACAATTAACTTTAAGGTGCTTACCTTTTAGATTTTACTTGATACAAATTTACCTTTGTGAAAACAACTACATTTATTTATAAAAATTTTTTTTTTTTAATATAGATTCCTTCTTTAGTAGATATTACATTTATGAACTAGGATCAGTTTTAAGTCTACAGAAATGTGCTGCATGTCAGATAGATGCAATATATTAATGAAGAGGACAATTTATGTAAATCAAACCACTCTAGATGATATCTAGGCCGTAAGCATTTTGAATGATGACATGTTCAATTCAATGGCAGTCTTGGGCACAGCTGGGTCAATAAACATGGCCGAGCGATATCACTTACCTGTGCTCAAGCTAGGGTGTTTACTTTGTGTCAGTGTTTTTGTGGATAGTTTAGTAACCCCATAATAATGGAAATCCAGTTCAATACGAATATAAATTAGCATTATACAGCTATGCCTCGTTCATTGAACAGAAAAAAAAAGGATTTTATTTCATCAAAAATAATATTTACATTTTTATGCATATATTGCATACCCAGATTCTAACGTTTCTCAAAGTTCCTCAGGATGTCAAGACAAATGATGCAAAAACACATTTATAAATTTAGATGTCAAAATCTTTTTATGACTTAAATATAAATTTACGAAGATAAAAAAAAAAGCAAAAACAAACAAAAAAAAACACAGATAAAGTACAAACCCCGCCTCAGTGCCAGAAATGAACTGTATTTACACATTCTTGTATCACGCACATTTTTAATATTTATACATTTTCTTTTAATTAACTTTAATTATCAGCAAAATAATCAATTGAAATACATAGAAACATGTCAATATGGTCATGCTATTTTTTATCCTTTTCTCTGGTTGTCATGCCCTATACAATAAAATCATACATACTTTTAACTTTTCATATTTAAATAATTCAATGCAAATTATATCGCCTTTTTTATTCAGGCTCATTTTTAATGGCTAGCATATCGAAAAGCCCATACTTGCTGCCATTGGAATTATGAAAAGTCTTATTTGCTGCATGATTGGAAGGTTTTGTCAAACCAATACTACTGGAGCTGGTAATCCCACCATTGACTGATTCTCTTTTTAATGTCAACTCATTTGATTTCGCCAACAAAGACTCTGTCCAAATGTTCCTATCTCGTAAGTCTTGGTTAGCAGCAGAATGTGCCCCCTTTTGAAGCATGTAGTATAATATTGGATTTGTTTTTGTCAGTCTTGGGTAATCTTTCCCAAACTCATTCTTTTCCATACCTGTGATAACCCATTTGATTGGCCCTTTATCATTAGGCACAGGGCTTGTATTAACAGGTCCAGAACTGGCCATAGAAATTTTATTTCCTGAAGTCTCTGGAGGGGTATGATGAGAATTATTTAAGGAAGATGGGTATGGAAAGGTAATTTGATCTACACTATTTGTTTGAGAATGTTTTCCCATTAACACATTTAAAGAAGGAGCTAAAAAGTCAGAATTCCCTGCCAAGTTACTTCTGGTGGGTCTCATCAACTCTTCAGCAGAGGTATGGCTCCTGTGCTGAGACAAGTCTCTGACACAATTTTCTGAAAGTAAGAGTTGTTTCAGCACATTGAATCCTTTATTCTCTCTTGACCAACTTACATTTTTACTTTCATTATATGAACTTTGACCCATGGTGCCCCTATGTTCGTGATCAGATTTGTTGCCGTTTATATCTTCTTGCAGAAAAAATGGGGTACACAAAGATTTTGTACTGCAGAATTGCCTATTACTACTGTCTGGAGAAACAATTCTAGCTAATTTTACTTGGCTTTCTAAAGGCTCATTTTGGTGCATTTTTCTCTTTTTTGGAACAACACTGGGAATTTTTGATTCTGTTTGCTTAATTTCATGTCTGCTTATATCCAAATCGTTTGTGTCATATCCATCATGGTTCTGCCGCAGCAAACGACTGAGAAGACCATTCCTTGAACCATTAAAATCATGTGGAGAAAGGTGTTGGGGCTTTGACTCCTCTGGAGATGATCGGGCAGTTTTGTGAAGAGATGAGTGCCAAGTCGGACTAGGCACTCCATTTTCTCTCAAATGTTGTGCATTGGAGACATCATCTGGTTCAGTTTTAATTTTAAAAGCTACAATTTGCTCACTTACTATCTTTTCTACATGCCCCTGTTGGCATTCATCTTTAATGACAGTTTTTTGGACTTTTTCATTTTTTCCTTTGTTAGTTGTGCCAAGAAGAAGCTGAAGAACTGTCCGTCTTTCTAGAAGATTTTCTATTTCAGAGCTTGGAAATCCTGAATCAACAGGAGTAGATGGGCTGTGGAAAGTTCTGACTTCTTCAAAAGAGCTTGATGGCTTTGTAACATGCGGGCTATCCAATCGTTCAACTAACCCAACTGTTGTACCATTACTAGAATGTAATGGTTTTTGTAGTCGTTCTTCAGGTGCAGCTGTCTGCATTCCACATTGAGCTAAATTTTGAAGAAGCTTACTTGCGCTGAAAGAATCATTACTTTGTGCATTGTTACTTACTACTGGGACAGGTGGTTGGAATACTTTGTTTCTAGTTAGCTCTATCAAATGTTTTGATGCTGGATTCACAAGTCTCTCTGATTGAAGGTTACTAATGTAAGACGTAAAAGTGGGTTTGATTGGAAAGGGCTGGTGAGTCAGATTTACAGGAGAATCTGCTTTGGCAGCATTGTGCAAAGGTAAAGTATTAAGTGGAGAAGATACTTGTGGATACTTCTGGATACTTGTGTTCTCTGAAACATGGCTGTGCCCTGGCAAATTGAATTTTGCCAGGTCAGCAGCTTTTGGTGGTCCCCGTACATCTACAATTGATTCTTGACTTTCATCAATCTTATGGCCCAACAGCAATTGTAATAATGTTACTTTCTGATATGGCTTTAATGTGGTATCCATGGACGTGTCTTTCTCTCTGCCGAGATCAATTCCTTCAACTTTTGGATCCCAGTTATGAAGCAAAGATTCTGTTAAATTGTCTATAGATGCAGTAGTTAATGCCACCGGCTTATCTACTCTGTTTTTAAAGGACAAATCTATTGGCACGCAGTTTGAATGAGTGCTTTCATCGTCACTAGTTTCTTCCTCTGTAAAACTAGGATTGTTGTCTGAAAAATCATCTGTAGTTGTTGGGGTGGCACTTTCTTCAAAAGAATACTTATCACTGTGTAAATGACTTGTGCTTACACTTGGGGCATTCTGGCTTTTAAGAAGGTGTAGAAGCAAACTGTTATTTGGTGATGGTTTCACATGGTTTCTCTCTGTATGGGTTTTAAAACCTGCTGTCTTGAGAGGAGAACTTGGCACACCCAGTTGATTTGGGAAAGGAGAAACATTTCCAACGTTACCAATTCCATTTGACATAGGTCTAATTGGACTGCTGACTTTGGCTGGCAAATTAGTTGACAACTGGAAACGATGAAGGTCACTCTCCGAACTCTCTTTCAATCTTGCCATGGCAGCAAGTCGTTCACTTGCCAGTTGACTTGCGCTCTGTGCCTTGAGGGCATGTTCTCTTGAGTATTGCTGCAGGTGAGCTTCACTAGAAAGAAGCAACGCCAACTGACTACAAGCTACACTTGGTTTAGGTGATGCAGTGGGGCTAGATCTTTTCACAACCATATTTGCAACAGCTTGAAGTCTTGCTGCACATGAAATTGGTTCCACTGTTCCTTTTGAACCATTCTGCCCTGAAAGAGTAGGTTCAACATAATTCTCCTGATGTGACTTTTTAAGTAAACCAGTTAAATTATTGTCGATTATTTTATCTTTTACTTTACTTTTATTTAATAGGGTTTTTAAATGATTGGATGCAGCACCATAACATCTGCTATCTTTTTCCTCGTGCACAGGTTCTTGGCTGATGGAAAACCCTTGGTCTTTAAGACTTTGTTTAATCTGTTGTGAAAGGGCAACACTTTGCAACCTAGAGCTGAATGACTGCAGCAAAGAAGCCAGCAAGGTACTATCTTGCTTCCCCTTGGGCACATTTTCCACCATGCCAGCCAATAAAGCATCATTGTTTCCATTTATACCAACCACAGATGCAGACAATCTTCTCCGTTTTGCTGCATTCCAGTCTTCAGAGGATTGCAGTAGCCTTGCTTTTTTGAGATGTAACATGCCAGATCCCTGACCCAGACTGTTAACTGGTGCATTATTCTTAGAGTTAGAAAATATATTTCCTGAAATCTTTAAGTTATCATCATCTTTTGCATGGCCAACCGAATGTTTGTCAACTGCAGTCCCAGATCCACCTGCTGCTTGATGCATTAGTAATCCTTCGAGATAAGTTAAAACAATGGAATCCTGTTGCATCTCAGAGCTAAGCTCTTCTCCATGAGTCATGTTCAACAAACGTATGCTTAAGAGCGGTCTTTACGTTGCTTGGAAGAAAGGCTTTGCAAACATTAGAATGTATACATCTATGTTTGTTTGAACTGGATGCAGACTGTTTTAGTAAAGTTCCAAGCAAATGTTCTTTCAAGGGTCATTGTCAGGATCTGGAATATTCAATAAAATTAGGATGATGAACCACGTTGAATTTAGAATTTGTTATCTAATTTCTCATGATTCCAATCAAATGTGTGTTTTACAGATAGATCAGCATCTACAAAAGAAAAACAAACAAAAATTAGAAAAAAAATAACATCATGGTTATAATATATACATTTTATCATGATTCCAAATCTATTTCTATAATTAAAATTAAACAACATATCTATACTGGAACACCTTGCTGTAGTTTTTTGGGTTTGGCCATTAAAGTAGATACTGGAGAACTAATGGAAATAACAAGTTTTAGGACATGGTATCCTAGTGGGAATATAGTAAATTTGAAGACATTTTCCAATTGACTAATTTGCCCAGAAATTGCAATTTTCATGCTAACTGTTCAAAATTCCTAGTTTATTGAATAAACCTCTGCACATTTACAAATAAGCATAAATGTTAAAAGAGTACTAAATTCCATTGTATTGTTACAGGGAAAAAACACAATTTGCTTAAAGGACCACTATAGGCACCCAGACCACTTCAGCTTAATGAAGTGATCTGGGTGCCAGGTCCAGCTGGGTTAACCCCCTTTTTTTTTTTTTTTATATACATAGCAGTTTCAGAGAAACTGCTATGTTTATAAATGGGTTAATCCAGCCTCCAGTAGCTGTCTCTTGACAGCCGCTAGAGGCGCTTGCGTGCTGCTCACTGTGAAAATCACAGTGAGAATACGCCAGCGTCCATAGGAAAGCATTGTGAATGCTTTCCTATGGACTTACTGAATGCGCGCGCGGCTCCTGCTGCGCATGCGCATTCAGCCGAAGAGGAGGAGAAGAGGGAGGAGAGGAGGAGGAGAGCTCCCCGCCCAGTGCTGGAGAAAGAGGTGAGTTTAACCCCTTCCTCTCCCCAGAGACCGGCGAGAGGTGGACCCTGAGGGTGGGATTACCCTCAGGGCACTATAGTGCCACGAAAACGAGAATGTTTTCCTGGCACTATAGTGGTCCTTTAAGTTTGACACACACACACACACACACACACACACAGCACCCGTACACACAAACACATACACAGCACCCCTCAATGCAGTGTGTGTGTGTATTCAGCAGTCTGTGTGTGTATTCAGCAGTCTGTCTGTCTGTGTGTGTGTGTGTGTATTCAGCAGTCGGTGTGTGAATGTGTTCAGCAGTCGGTGTGTGAATGTGTTCAGCAGTCGGTGTGTGAATGTTTTCAGCAGTCTGTGTGTGAATGTTTATATTGCATTTGTTGGAGATACTAATACATATAAGCTTATTTTTATCTATAATTCTAATTTTTATTCTTGTGAGTTGTGTGAAGGTAGGGCCTTAGTGCGCTGCTTTGCCCAGGAGCCCATAATGTTGTTAAGATGGCACTGGGATAACACGGTATAGAATATTGTTATACATTGCTGCATTCGGTCTATGATTAAATTACTTGGCCACAATAGAAAGAAACAATGTAGTGGTTACTCTAAATCTACAATGGAATAGAAATGAACACTACATAATAGAACAACGGGGGGTTACAGGCTTTAAAATACAATATGTATACTTTTTCTTTTTAAAAAATTTTTTAAAAGAGACTGGGCAGCAATATATATATATATAAAAAAAAAAAAAAAGCATGTGACAGTGCACGATCAGCAAAAGTCTCGGTTTTCAGTAGTTTAAAAAGAAATAAAGTAGAACCTAGTAAGGGATTAGAGAAGTGGGATGGGGTGGGGGGAAACTGCTGCAAAGTATAAGGTAGGTCACCCAATACAGCACTACGAATTAACAAGAAATACAGTCAAGCTAAAAAAGGGAAAAAGAGGGCGAAGCAGTTATCCCAGCACCCTAAGAAGCACTTCAACCCAATTCTCTGAAAAGAGGGAATTGCATTTCTAACATGTGCATTCAGCTTGTCCATTATATAATGGTCTTTGATTTTGAGGATGACCATTTCCAGTAGGGGAACCTTGTCCTGCAGCCAGGATTGGTAAACTGCCCTTGTATTTTCCCTTATGGAAAGGACTAAAAGTAGACGAAGGCTAAGTAGATGTGAAATCAACAGAGCATGGGTGGGACTATATACCACTTAAAGTGCCTTGAGAAGAGTGGAAATAAATACCCGCTTAACTCACTGGGACAAACCCGCTGAGGTCCTGCTTACACCAATGGAATATGGGTTCAGCATTCAACACATACAGGAAGGACACCATGAAGAAGGCATGGATTCGGGTTAGACAGGTTACATATCAAGCACGTCTATTTGGGAAAACCAAAATTTACTACATAGTGTTACTTTCAGAACTCTGAAATTTCTGGACATTAAAGAGTCCTAGACCCACTTAACCTTAAAAATAAAAATAAAAAAAATATAAAAATAAAAAATAGGAGGGTTGATTGCTTCTTCATACACAAAAAGTTTGTTGGCATTTCCTGTATTTCTAGCTTGAACCCAATTAATCTGGCAATTTGATTTTATAGCTCTAGAAATATGGAGCACATAATTTGTCTGACCCTATAAATAGATTTAATAGAGTATAAAGCTGCAAGTACAATGTCAAGGTCATACAGTAGCATGTAAGATTACAAACAGGACTGATGTAACAGCTGGCATTTGATCCAAGCTCCTAGGGTTTAGAATACACTTAACATACACACACTCTATTTACGCATACTGTACATTGTGTTTCAAATATTTAGCACGCAAAGAAACAACCAACTATTTAGCCTTACATGACTTCCTTGGTCAATCATAATAATAGCAATTAATGCATTAAAGGGGAACGAACCATAATATGTTTATGTATCCTTTTTTACTGACGTTGCACAGGGAAACACAGGTCCATATCCCAGTCACACAACCTAACCTTATTGGGCAAGACACCTAATGACATAAACTGTGCACAGCCATGGGTATATATTATTATTAGTATATGCTGCAGAAGGTGTTAAATTAAAATGTAAAGAACTGAGATAAAACTCATATCTAAACACGCTGCCTTGATGAGTTGGTGATGGTAAATAAAAGGGTCATGATGTGTCTGCTAACGAACAAACATGGGGACATGAGATACATGATGAGCATGCTATATTGTAACTACAGCCCATGTATTACAGAAGCTTCCAACATTTCAAATGGACAAAGAGGGACACTTTAATTTTCGGGCTGCGAGTGCATATATGTCTAGAGGAGGCGCTGTTCTGAGACATTTTAGGTGACTTACTAATAACATTTTATGTAAGTAAAAGTTAATTTAGGACAGTGTATCCTATGTATGCAGAATGATTTGAAACATTTATTTGCAGTTTAAAGACACATTACTGTGAGTATAACTGCTGTGTTATACACTGAAACCACAACAACAACAACAACAACAACAACAACAACAACATGGCTTCTAGAAAAGAGGAATATTAGGATAAAAAAAAAAAAGAGGGAAAGATGGATTTTGGCACAAAATAGGGAGGTAAACAGGGACACTTGGGAGGTAAGTCATTTGTTTCTGTGCTTTCAGAATCCTAGATTTATAGAAGATAGTAAAAGGACAATCTAAGCACCATAACTACCACAGTGCCCCTAGCTCCAATCCATGGTAAGTAGTCAAACAACTTGACACTTGTGCCGGGCTCCCGTAGATGCCCACATTTCTCTGTGATATCACTAAAGCAGAAGCTCCACTTCCATATTAGTGATAACCATTCCAGCCATGTTTGAATGGAATTCATTGGCCGAGAGTGTCTTTGAATGGGTGGTATGGCTATGAAGTGCGAGAAGTGGTGCTGAAAGTGTGTATGTAGTGTGGCAAGCATTAGAGTCAAACCTATCTGTGCTAAATCTAGATGACCCAGCTCACATTGTATATATTGTATTAAAGGTCTAAAGTAGACACGGTATATGTTCTATTACCCAACCAGGGTAGAAATAACAGCAATTACCAACTAGACAAAACATTACTTTCTAAATATATAAATAGCATTTTATAGGCCGTTTAATTCATGGTTCATAAACACAGGACTACATTTCTTCTTGATTAAAAGGACCACTATAGGCACCCAGACCATTTCAGCTTAATGAAGTGGTCTGGGTGCCAGGTCCATCTATGGTTAACCCTGCAGCTGTAAACATAGAAGTTTCAGAGAAACTGCTATGTTTACATTAGGGTTAATCCAGCCTCTAGTGGCTGTCTCATTGACAGCCGCTAGAGGCGCTTCTCACTGTGACTTTAGACACTGATGTCCATAGGAAAGCATTGAGTAATGCTTTCCTATGGACTGATTGAAGCGCATGTGCATTCAGCACTGACGTCAAAAGAGGGAGGAGAGTTTCCCTGCGCCGAGGCAGCCGACGCTGGAGAAAGGTAAGTGATTAACCCCTTCAGACCCCTACGGCCAGGCGGGAGAGGGGCCATGAGGGTGGGGAGAACCTAAACACCCTATAGTGCCAGGTAAACGAGTTTGTTTTCTTGGCACTATAGTGGTCCTTTAAGCAATACCTTGCTTTCAAACGTTTCTGTGTGTCTTCAAAAATAGACAGTATCACCTGAACGGGGATTTCATTAGCTCAAGGCTCACTCCCCAACATGCTTCATCTCCAACTCTTATTTCTCTATATAGCATTACTTTTAATAAGTTATATCTGAGGCTTGGTAACATGAATCTCAAAGTTTTCAGGCCATGCCAATGAAGTTTCCAGGAATGCGAATTGTGCTGTTTAACTATCAAAGACTCTTTGTAGAAAAACAAAATGGCAGCACAGTGGCCAACACATTAATAAAACATATTCACGAAAATATTAGAGTTTGACGCATGGCACAGCACACTGAAGCATTTGAGAAATGAAACAAATTCAGGGCAAGGTTTGTCTGGCAATATTTAAGGTTCCCAAATACTCTACTGATATGGTGTAGATCAGCAGCCAATAACCCAATAATTAGAGATAGATACGTAAAGTTTCTTACAGAGACCTCAAAGATCACCTACAATTCACATTTTAATGATCTGACCAATGGAAAATAATTGGGTAATCTGAGATCACTGTGGTCTTTGAACACTGCTATATGAATCACTAGTTTAGACTGCATGTTATGCCACAAGTTATTTTGGAAGCCAACAATCATCTTTGTAGGAAACACTGCTGTAAACATTAACACAGCTGGAATGTTGACTCAATGTGAGCCTGTAGCCAGTCTGCAAACTTCCACTTTCTCCTTACTCAGCTACAGCTACACAGTGCTCTAGAAAACATATGGCTCTTTTGCCAATTAATACGTAGTGTTAATTAAATCCGTATGTGCGAGTGAGCTACTGAATGCCCTCCCCAGTCATGTCCCTTGGTCTGGCAGTGTAAGATAAGCTCTTTACATAAAAACACACAACTTTCCAAACTAAGTATTTGCAAGCTATTTGGCAAGCACAGACTACACAAAAATGGCTTACTCTTCAAAATGCCCCTCTGTCGTATTTGCATGAAACGTGAATTTTAGATTGCAAACCAGCAGAACCATCCATCATTTTCTTGGTTGCCACCACATACATTAATTTGTCATTGTGTTCAGCCCACTGGTTTAAATGCACAGTACTTTTAATTGGAACCTAGAAATTTAGCTTTTTCTAGAATGATTGATAGGCAGAACGACATGTTTTCCAGGTTTGGACAATCCAGAGATAACCATCTGTGGGGGTCTAAATTAAAATGAGGGGATGGGCAAGTAGTGCTCAACCTTAGCAAGTAAACAAGATAGATAGATAGTAAAAAAACCATTAAAGCACATTCTGGCTCTATCACCATATAAAAAGGGTATTTTTTTTAAGTCTATCATTGAGTAGGTTAAAATCTGGTGTAATTACAGGCATAAGGGGACCTTAGAAAACCTCTCCTGAAGTTACCTTTTCATCATGTTACGAGATAAGCTTACATCCAGATTTAAATCTCGTGTGCGTCTAGCACCCGCCCAGTTATGTTAATGGTGCTGTCTGTTCTGCAAAAGTGGACTTAAGACTTTGGATTATTCAATGTTTATATACAAGATATACTATATAAACCTGTATACAACCTTACACATTGTATACATAGTTACAGGGAAATAGACACCAATATTTATATGCGCAAAAGCAAATTATATAAGTTGAAAACAAAAATGCTTTAGCACTAATTAAAATCTTTCTAGCCCAAAACAAGTTTCTTTGATTCTTTGGGAGAAAAAACCCAAACAAAATCTCTTGGATGCTAATGTTAAGTGTGAACAAAAAAAACCAAACAAACAAAAACATATTTCTTAATAATACTCAGTAGAACATATAAAATACGTTTTTTTCACGCTTACCAAAATAATTTGTAAGCCTTACTATCTCTATAAAAGGAGGGTAAAGAAAAATTCCTGGAGTGCCAGAATTTGAGATAGTTAAAAAGATCACAAGCATACCTCTTTCTCTCCCAGCAGTGGTGCCAAGCACAGGTACAGTGAAGCAATCAATTTGTTCTGCAGACAATACAGCATTCATAGAATACTAATGCGAGACATCCTTTTTTCTCCTTCGACTTGACTCCCCAATGCCCAGGTCCTGACCAATATGAAGCAGAACACAGTACACTGTAAGGCATCTACCGGTACACTAATCAAGAATACGCGTGTAAGACATAGGATTACAAACCTCTACCAAGCTTGAATCAGTTAAGCATATGCAAAACAAGGTCACGGCTTAACATACACCCCAATTCACAGGCACGACTACTTGAGAAAACTAATTCATCACTCATAGCACTGACTGACTTGGACCTCAAGAGGCTAAAATTACACAGATAAAAACAAAACAAAAAAAAAATAAAAAATTGACAAAAGATCATCCGTCGACATTTGTGTTTTCCCAGAAACAGAGTCTAGTGCACTTCAGATGAAATAATATTTCCTCTCTTTTATGACAGTTGAAAAGAAATCCTTTATTTGACTTCAATTCTGTGTACCTTGCTAAAGGTCACTTTGTAAGAAAAAGTGTTCATTTTCATTCGATCGGTGCGACTGCTCCTCAGTAAAAATTCAATTGTCTGCACATGGTTTGCTTCCCTGCCCTAGCATCAAACAGCAGGTAACCTTACTGGCCACGGATGTACGTACAGGGCGCAAATACAAAGCTGCTACCGAGAAATAGCTTCCAACTAAACTCCCAGCTATTAGAAAACAGAGCAAAGATAATAACCATTAGCTATAAAAATCCCAATAACAAATACTTCCTATTATAAAATGAATTTATTCTGCTAAAATAATAATTAAAAGAATATACACATGCATGCACGCACGCACACACGCAATGACTAAAACACAGAAAGCACAATAAATTAACAGAGTCAGCAATCAGCTATGGAAAGGTTAATGTGCCAGAAGAGCTGGCAAAATATAATAAAAGCACTAGGCAAACATTCTATAATTTTTATTTTTTTTTTATTTATTTTTTTTTACACAAATATTTTTATTTTTTATTATTACCTAACAGGAAGAGAAATGTGAGGATAAGGATTTAAAAATAAATAAATATTTTTTTTTGAGGATTATTCCCTCCAGATCAGTTAATATATATATTGCATATATTGTCCTCTGACAAGGGCAGGATACAATTGTAGAAAATTATACCAACACTCTGCAAAAATCTAAAAGTGTATTTAAAAACATATATGCAATTCTAGAATACATTACATTTTTAACCACTACTGCCAGATAGACTTAAAGCCAGCATCAGAGGGCACAAGGCATGAACAGATCAGTGAGCATTCACATCTATTTTATTGAACAAACGCAAAGACAAATGAAAATGTTTTGGAAATGGAATAAGAATAAAAGTTTTCAAGGCACTTGTCTTCTGCTTCGTAATGTTATTGGTTTTACACAAATACAAGAGGGTGAATTACAGTTTGAAGATGTTCAAATCTTTGTCTCCTGTTGGTTCACTGCCCTTTTAATAATGGATATCCAATATGAGAAAGACACCATGAGAAAGGAGTATGATCAATAATGTAGCAATCGCCCTTGGCATGGTGACATTGGATTGTGGTCATGTGATATCAAGTCGTTTCCCCACCTGGCTCATGACCTTGTCCTTTAGATGACCCAAAGCCTCCCGCATGATGCGAGTGGCTCCTCCTTGCTGTCTCAGCAAGGTCGAACGGGTCAGCGTGTCCTCATCTATAATCCACCACGATTTGTCAGCGGGGAGGCTGAAGGAGGCAGGCTTGCTACAAGGAGAGAATGCCCAATTAGGCAGCTGTCACACAAAGCATTGGATGCAAAATTATCCCCTGTCAAAAGAAAGAGCAGCTGCGGGTGCCAATTACAGCAACCTTTCAACCCTTTAGGTACTGGAAAACTACACAACAACAAACGAGGAAAAATTAGCAGCGACAAACCACTCAACGCAGGATGTTCATGTCCACTAACCCTCAGATTCCCTAGGTCAGCTAGTCACAATGTCTAGGTTACGTATTGATTTATAATGATCCCGATACAATCCCTTGGTTTCCATAACACAAATAGAATATACCAGCAATGACCAGAAAGGGTTAATTATCTTAAATTGTGATGTATTTCTTTTTTGTTTCCACCAAGGAATAGTGGGGGTTAATTACAGTTCTGAAAAATTCCCATTGTAGAACGTGCTGCCTCCATGGAGGTGTGTGACTCACATATCAAAGTGGAGCCTTATCATCACGCTTTCATGGGAAAGATTTCACCTGCTAAATGATTTCCTGGCATCGTAGTAATAATCCAACATACCCATATGACAAGTCGAGTTAATTGCAGGCGTTGCAACAATAACAGTTAAAATAAGGCTAATGATTCAATGCAGTAGTTTCTCTCCAAGAGCAGGGGGCTTTGTTTGAAGGTGAGAAGTGCACAGTTTATACGTTGGCAGAAACATTTCCTGACAAAACCATGTTATCTTCCAGCTGGAATTTACATTTAAAAAAACTGTATAAAAAAAATAATATTTAATCACACCAAAAAACTGGGTAAAAAATATTTAATCACACCATCTCGGTCTGAGCTATATGGATCTCTTAATTTCTGAAGTTTACTAATAGCATGTAATTAGAAATATTGAGTACTTGTTGATAAAGTAATATTGGGACTATAAGGTAAGAAATTAATAAGTGCTATTTGTTAAAGAAAATAGACAACATGGGTTTAGAGGAGGCCTTGGTGGAAACTGCTTGAATAAAATAGTTCCCACGTATTTGGTCTGTGTTTAAAAAATGTTACTGCTCAAATTGTTGGACTTGTAAATATATGTAACTTTGGCTTTGCCAGGATTATGGCTAGAATACCATTGTATGAGATGTAGTCCACCAACATCTGGAGCGCTGAAGGTTGCTTACCCCTGTACTAAGGGGAAGAAAATATTTGATGTACAGTATGTACGAGAGAAAGTGTTTGCTATGCATAAATGTAACAGATCTAGGGTTCTATTTTATTACAAGCGATAAAACCTTGAGAAGAGGTGTAAAACTGTTGTGCATTGAAAAAGCTTCCTGTTCAATTTTTATAACTCGGATAACGCTGATAATTGATGCTGTAAACACGGACTACTTTCAAAACTTCAAAAGAAGTTATCCCTGAAACACCACCTTCAGCCTAGCTAAAACAGCGTTTTTTAAAAAAAAAGTATTTCCAAAATTTAGAGGAGCACTCCTAGTACCATCACCACAACAGCCCAACACTTCGCATTCTTTGTATGCTTTCACTGAGTTGACTGCCAGCAATGACTAACAAGTAGCTAAGGTCGGTAAAAGACGTGTAGATTTCTAGATTTAATTATTTTTCTTCTCAAGTCACAAATACATATTATAGGGATAAGTAAATATAATCTTTCAATAACCTGATTTTTTCCAGTGACTGAACACCACAATGAAGGGGTTAAAATATACTTTACAGACACTAAAAGCCTTGCGATTGACCTTAGTGCCTGCATTGGATGCAAAATGTGTTTAAAGCTGCTCAGGAGCCATCACATCTGCTGAATTTTTTATTTTTTAAATCGTCAATAAGATTGCAGGTTTATTGTGACTCCATAGGTTGTTTTTTTTTAATGCAAAAAACACATTCCGCCAGGTAATTATTTTTCACATGCTATAAAGTTTGCAGCAAAACAGCTCGATCTCTGAGTTTTCTTATCTGTGCAGGTTTTATCAGATTTCTTATGATAAATATTGATATTTCCGTAATAAAATAAAACCCTAATCAGATAGGATAGACCATGGTTATGATTGCCATCCTCTAGAATGTTGGCATCTAAAGGTAGGCTTATAGGAAGTGGTGATTCACACAGGACAACCCATGACCTATAAACTTCCACTCATGCTACTCATGTACAGCACCTAAAATTCCAGTCTAAAAGACAAAAGGAAAAAAGCCTTCTTGGAATTTCATAAAGTGACTAACCTCTATTTTCAACTTAAAAGTACGGAATGTGCTAAACTTCACAGAATCCCAGATCTATTATTATACAGATAATTCACTCATTGTACACGTAGTATCCATTTTAAATCCATTCAACCAAAAGCATGTGTTTGTCATTCAAGGTTGGAGACAAACAAACATTTATATTATCACACTAGAGCAATCAGTGATGTGCTTTAAGTGAAAAACAAAATATTATTTTATCAAACCAAACCAGTTTGGCAAAAAAACAAAAATGCAATGATCCCATCCGTTAAGTGTCAGGCCAAAAGTCACTGAAGTGTTTAACAGATAGAAGAATGTCATCAAGTTCCTCTTGAAGAACCAACAGTTTTATCATGAAATAGGTATCCATGTCTAGTAGCCTAAGATTGGCATTCACAATGCTGTGCATCAGCTGGAGAAGGGAAAAGCCCATCCCTATTGGATTCTAAAGTAACAGAACGGTTTCATGCATGAGACATCTCTGTGATTGGGAGATTAAAAGAGGATACTACCAGATCAACTGCATAGTGACAACTGTAAAGTTTGATGATGGAAAAATTATTTGGGGATATTTTTCGGGCAAGGTATTCAATGTCATTCTATACTAATCCTTGCTGAAAATTGTTGCCAAACAGTTTAGCATTTAGCGTAGCATCAAACAAGGAGAATTCCAGATTAGTGCCCGTAACACGTTGTAATAAGATGTTTGCGGAGCAAGTGTCTGCAGTGATTTGGCTAAATCATACCTCTCAACACTAGTATTAACATTTAAGTGTAAGCTCACCTGCTATGTCAGTGCAAACCTCTTAGACGCCTTTGGCGTGGCAGGTGAGCTTACAATTAAATGGCCATTGGAGTGATAATATAAAACCCCATGTTATTTAAATATGCATAGGGATTTGGGATAGTGCACAAGTAATGCTTTCCTTTGGTTATTATTTTATGTATTGGGCCTGATGTGTACTATAGTCACGGCTGCCGCCCAGTAGTGGGAGTTTGAGTGCAGGACATTATTTTGCATACAGGAGGTTTTGTTTATAAATTCATTATGAGTTCCAGAAGCAATCAGAAGGAACATCCCATTGCTTCCATGGCAACTGCACTACATGTAGATCTTTACTGCCTAGTATTGCTTTATAAATAATCCCCATGGTTTCACAATTGTCATTATGAATATCCACTCTGCAAAGCTATGTGTGGCCGGGTGATTTTCACAAAAGGCTATGCTGGGTGGCAGGTGGCTGGTCCTAAACCTTCTGATGTTATTACACAGGGATATCATTTTTATTTTATATGAAAATTCAGACAAATTTGTCACGGCTTATACAGGGATTACATAAATCTGCCGTTATTTTTCCTTACTGCAAATACCTTCATTTGGTTTTAAAGGTAACAAAAAATAAATAAAATAAAAAAAGCAGAATGAAAAAAAAAAAAAGAAATCGGGATGCATCCATGGTAATCGTAGTCACGTCATAGTCACAGTAAATAGGTCAATGGATTTACATCCCATTAGCCGTCAGTTAAACGAGCAACATATCTGACACCCTAGTTGGCAACCACCGCATCAAGAAGAAAGCAAAGCATGGAATTGGCATTAAGGACAAACTCTGCTCGTTAAGCAAATGTCCCTGCTGCATAGCTGTTTGGAGACATATCCTTATGCAGAGTATCATTTCCCCTTCTTAGCAGCCGAGCAAAAATGTTCTTTTAAAATAAAAATAAAAGTAACCCTAGACTAAAGTTAACTTCTAATGATAATGTGTGCCAATATGTGTCCTCTAGAAACACAACAATTAATCCATTTGAGCCATACCTGAATGAAAACGAGAAACTCCAAAACAAGAGAGAGTATCGATCTGTACTTCCTGTTCGGTTAAGATTCCGTGTTGACAGAGGATGAAAAATGCAGTCATATGTGCACACATTCATGAAGTTAAAAAAAGTTTGCATTAATCATGGACTAGTTACCTTTTTTTGCTTTTTTGCTTTTGTATTGGTCTAACTAAAGAAGCTCATGTTTTTTTGTTTGTTTTTTGGGGGGGGGGGGGGGCATTCCATTCCATTCATCTAACGACTGCAGATACCTTTGACCAGTTATACGATCTCCTGCTCTTCTTTCCAAAACCCAAGGCCATCAAACTGTATTTGGTCCCCTTTTAGCTCATATATAAGAAGCAATTCTCTAGTAAGAATTGACATTACACTTTGAAACATTGTTGGGACATTCAACCACAAGAATTTCTGCAAGGTCGAACACGGATGGCTGTCTGTTAGGCTTGGCTTCTAATTTGTCCTCAACGTGTTTGACGGGATTGAAGTCAGGTTTCTGTGAAGGTCGAGTTCTTCCACATCCAAACTATTTCTAGTTGGACATTTGTGAAAGTAGGGAGTCCAAAAAAAAACTTTACCTCTTTGCTTCTGTTTAAAAAAAAAAAAAAAAAAGTTTGATAATTAACAGATCTCTCTTCCAGATTGGGACTTCATTGTAGAAAGTTTCTGTTGATTTTGTCATAAATATACTGATATCACATGATTACCAATGTGCTGCTAAACAAAAATGTCTAACATTTCAATGACAAAAGGCCAAATAAATCACTGTACATATTCATCACAAGGGCTTCCAAAAAAATGGCATATAACAATGGGTTCATCATACAGAGAGGTGAGGAAATTAAAATTTCCATCAACTTGCAAACAAATCTTCAGTATTACAAGCTATAGCACAGCAGGACTAACATACAAACCAAGAGAAAGAAGAGGGGGAAACCATCAAAGACGTATCTAACCAGCATCACACAGAGTTCTGTCGCATGCTAATCAAACTGGATACCACAGTGACAAATAATACACTCTGTTCACAAAAACTCAAAGCACCGTCTCCAAACACGCAACATCTCTGTGCAAAGCAGACAGAAAAAAAAAAAATATATGTATATATATAAAAAAAAAAATCAGTACAGTGTCTACAAACATATTCATATTTACTTTTTGCATATGAACTACAAACAGTTTGAACAGAGACAATACCACTGACCCCCCAAAAAAAAAAAAAAAAAAAAAAAATCAGTTTAAGGGTCCTGGAGTCATAGTCCAAGATGCCAAAGACACAACCCTTCCCCACCTATTCTGGACAGCTATGTGGTTGCCAATTTAAAGGGATGACACCATTCCAATAAATTATAGGTTTTAAACAGTTCACCTGTCATTGAAAATATTAAAAGGATACTTTATTGGTTATGGTGCCAGAAGTCCCGTGACACCACCTAAAAGGAAAACGGTTATACCATACTAATCTGGTTCTATTGGGCACTTGCGCTGCTTCTAGCCGATATGTTAAATTGGACATTTGTGATTGCGAAGTTACTTTAAACCTACAGTGACAGCATATTTGTGTTCTTTTTGCCAGAGAAAACTTGATCCAAAAATTGGACTGTAATACTAGTTTGAGAAATTATGGGCGGTTATTTTTATCTCATTTCTACGGGAGTGGTTTGGAGCCAGGGGATACAAATTATGTAGAAAATTGTTACGTTGTTTTGTGCAAAATGTGATATCCCATTGACACATCGGGCTGTTTTTCAACTTGCAGTGTTATTCACTAGAGTGAGACTTCTAAAATGTCAAGATAATTTTAAATTTGAGGTGAAAATAGCAGGAAAGATTCTCTAAGCTATACTTGCAGTTCATCTACTTTGCCCTTAGAATTCTAACTTTCATTAATAAGCCTGTTGGTCAGTTATTTGATCCAAAGTATGCTGGCCTATCTCTAGAGTCAGATTTCGCACTATTTTGTGAAGATCAATATATACTATGTTTTCCAATTTGATAAAATCAAGAGATTACAGTTTTTCTAACACAGCAATTATAATCACAATTCTTTGTAAACCATATAATATTCTAACGCTCACTCAATTTTTTTACACTAAAAAGAGGAAAAGAAATTCACATAGTAATATATCAGATCACATACATGTACACTAAGACAAATAGCTGTTAAGGAACAATCCAAACACAACCAAACTAGAGCCCATTGTAGTGGTTATGGTGCCATGATTGCCCTGCCTATCCAATGTAAGTAGTCAAACCATTTGATAAGGGTGAGAGTTGGAATATCCTGCTAGGAATTTGTTAGCTCTCCAGAGCTAAAGCCTGATATACAGGGCCAGATCATTGGCTGAGAGCAGCAGCCGATTGTGTGCACCACTGGGCTTAGCTCAGCATAGAGTAGCTGTCAGAGTGGCAGGGACTGGCACCCAGTGGACCCAAAGTAAGAAGTCAAACCATTAACAGCTTGATTATCTGCATTGGGAGAAGGGTTGCACGGGGGGATTCCTTGGATACTTGTGGCATTTTTGATAAAGACATGAACATTTTGCCAATTTAACTGAATAAAATAGTACAACATCTTAGAGAACAAATGTAAATTGAAAGGATTATGCCATGGTCATCCTTTTTTATGAAGAATATGGAAGTCTTAACATTATAAATAGAAGAAATTCAGTAAAATAGGCTGGAGTCAAGGAAAAGCATGTATCATTGTCATAGAGTCATTCCTATAGAAGCATTATCTGGATAATCTATGTGGCAAAGGATTGAATATGATTTGATGTGAATATGCACAGGTGGAAAAGGAACAGATTAAATAATCTAAGCAATAACACCAGTAAGCATCACTGAAAGTACATACGGTGAGAAGAACAAAATATAAAATAAATAAAATAAAAATAAATTTAAATCAGAGAACCCATACATGATCTTGTTTTCCTGGCACTATAGTGCTAATAGGTTCCCCCCCTCCCCCTCCCCCCCCACCACCCTCCTCATGGCCCGCGGGGCTCTACGGGGAGGAAGGGGTTAAAGGCTTATTTTTCTCCAGCGCCGGGCTCCCTCAGCGCTAGGGACTCACCTCCCTCTTCCACCGAATGTGCATGCACGGCAAGAGCTGCACGCGCAGTCAGTCCGTCCATAGGAAAGCATTTCTCTCTTTTCTATGGACGCTGGCGTCTTCTCACTGTGAAAATCACAGTGAGAAGCGCCTCTAGTGGCTGTTAATGAGGCTGGATTAACCCTAATGTAAACATAGCAGTTTCTCTGAAACTGCTAGGTTTACAGCAGGCAGGGTTAACCCTAGTTGGACCTGGCACCCAGACCACTTCATTAAGCTGAAGTGGTCTGGGTGCCTATAGTGGTCCTTTAACAAACCACACAGTTGATGTAGGACAGATTTAGTTTACTGTTCTCTTCCCAAAATACGAATAAAAATAATAGCACAAAACACTAATATTTTAAACATAATTATAAAAAGTTGTTGCTCAATGAAAAAGCCCCTCCCCCCCAAAATAAAAAAAAGTAAATGTTGTTTAATCATATTTATGTGAAATAATAATAAAAAAACAAAAAAAACAATAGACACTACAGATATTGGTTTTCCCGTGCGCCATAACATACTATAGGTGGAGGTATTAATATGCGCACATATAAAATACATTTACAATGTGCACAGTGTGGGAGAGAGATTTAGCTTCCCTCTATTAGGTTCCTAATTGAAATTATTGTTTTGATTAAATGCCGTTACGGGTTTTTTTTAGGTAAAACTGCAATCCAAGAAATTTCAAGGGTAAAAGTGTTTATGATTCAATCCCCATACTATGATGGGTGACTCTCTCTTTAAATAATTGAAATCCACTCCATCATCTACAAAGCTGTTTTGAAGCAGTTTAGCTTTGTTCTTTACATGTGTTCTAATTAAGTAAGAACGACCTTGTCAATGCACGCAGCAGAAATCCTGGATTATTTCTTACAGCAAAAATCCACCGAGTGGGGAGAGCAAAGACGGAGGGAGAGAATTAAAAAATAAATAAAAAATACTTGGTTTAGTGATGAACAGAGAAGTTTTGGTTGGCTGGATGCTGAAGCAGTTTCACTGCATAATTTTGTGTGTATTGAATGTCACAGGGCGGGTTGGAATGACCTTGAGAAACATCAGCAACACAGCAAGGGTCGAGATGCCTGCAGGCGCCCTTGTACTGGATTTGCAAGACAAAAAACCTTCAAACTGGCTGAAGGACATCTTAAATCTCTTCAAAGGTTTTCTGAACTAATCTGGGCTGCTCTTAGCCGGATCTGTGCCAGTATAAAAGGCAAAATGAAAAACAAGGTCTTTGACTGGGATGTTGTCTCTTCTTAACCCTTTGCGAAAGAGGATGCAAAAAAAAAAAAAAAAAGAAGACAAGCACAAAAAAACCCCCCAACAATTTTAAGCCAAATTATTCTGAATGACATATGCATATGTGCTTGTTGAAGGCACGGACATATCGATCATCCTATACTTTATGAACTGCTATATAATGACATAGAACATAATACCTGGTAGTAGTTTAGTTTTGTAATCTAAAAGAATACCTTGATGCATCAGGATTATTTTGAGGTAATCTATTCTAGAATTCAGAAAAAAATGAATTATAGAATATCTCACATGGGGGGGAAAACAATGACAGGGTGCCTCTTTATAAAGGATAAAATTGTGTCTATACATTGTGCATTCCCCATAGCCAGAAAATGCATAACTCTAATGTTTCCCCCCCAATGAATATCTTTTTCTTCAGCCTCTATCACTCCCTACACAATTCCTAGATGGAATTTATTCCCCAAGTAAGTGGGTTAATCTCATAAGAGCAGACATTAGGCTGTTAGAGTAGGACCTGCCAAAGATGGGGTACATTGACGTTGTGGCAGGCTTATGCAATGTATGATCATATATTTTGAAAGGGGAAAACATGGACAGGTTGAGATAATCTTTAATATAAAAAATAAAAAAAAATTAAAAAAAAAAAGCAAACAAAGCATCACATGGACAAAATTCTTACAATGTTTTATTGGATACTGAGGGGCAGTTTCCCTTTAAATAACTGTATGATGTACAGATAACCACTTAAATAATTCAGAAACCAAAACATCATGCTTAATTTAAAGTGAGCATTAATTGACGTGAAATATTCCACAGTCATTCACATAAAAAATAAAGAGCATCCACAAAGATATTTGGTTCTTCCTAATCAGAGTCACTTAGGAGGTATAAAGTACATTTCAAGTACATGTGAACATGGATATCTGGAATATATGCATATTTACACATGTTTACAAACAAATGCATTCTAAAAGAATACGGACATTCTGTGCATGTTTATTTACAGGGTTTTTTCCTTCTCCCTGGTGGTTGGAAAGGCGATCAAAAAATGTACTTCCCTTTGAAGAGATCATCCACCAAACCCATAACAACATCGAAATAAGTACATGTATATATATATATGCGCGCGCGTGCGCACGCACGCACACACACACACACAAACATAAAAAGCAGGAGAGTACAATATCTCCTTGACCTCAGTTTAAAAAAAAAAAATGCATGCTATTAAATACAGATCAGCAGTTAAATTAGGTTTGTGTGGGTTTATTTTAACTGGTCAAGATCAGTATGACAATGCCTTGAAGCATCTGTAGCGAATAGGTCAGAAATGTCCTTGGGGAAAGCGAGGAGGTGAAAGAGAGACCAATAATGCCTTTAGAGAGTGATCAGCCTGGTTTGTGATGAATCATATCATCTATTTTAAACTGCTTTGCACAGATAAAACAAGGCACCACCCTGTGGGCATATTACATGTTTGCCCCAAGAACCAAATATAGGATATGATCAGTAGGTACATGTACTGTATATTAAAGTTCAGTACTTTATAAAAACTGAACTCAATAATTAGAGGATATATAGACACCTCTAGAGGATAAATGGCATTCCCCAAGCATCTGCAGAATGCCAACAACTAACAAAACAAAAACACAGAGTAGATGTTAGTCTACAGGAACCAAAAAAAAAAAAAAAATTATTTTTAATTGCAACAAAATTAAATAAATAAAAATGGTTTAACTAAATACAATAAAAAAATATGAACAAATAATATCAATAAATAAAAATTGCCACGATTTAAAAAATAAACTGCCACAAGGAAGGTTAACTTAAAAATTGACAGTAAAAAGTAAATACTCCTTTAAGATAAGTTCATTTTTAACCAGTAGAAGCTAGTCTACAGGAGCTAAAAAGTGGTTTTTTTTTTGCTGCAATAAAAATTAATAATTTAAAATGTATTAAATAATGAATGATAATAAAAAAAATAAAGACAATTGCCATGAGTAAGGTTAACTTAACAACTTATGTTAAAAAGTAAATACTCTTGAGATAAGTGTGCATTAGAGAAATCTATGCTGTACTTGTTTCTTTAATGATACACGTTCTAAAGTTCCTCCTCCTTCCTGTCGAATTGTTGTATTGGGCACTTGTGATAAACAAACGATTTCCCCCAGTGTGTTTGTAGGTTTAGAGTAGATATACACCCACGACACACACTGACAATGTTGTCAATCAGATCATAGCATCCCAAGATCCTCAACAGCTACCCCACACCTCCACATGAGTGTTTTAGAATGCTCGCAGCTATTTTAACTTTTATTTTGCTTTATCACGGTTTAATTAATACAACCCTAAATATAGATGTGATGGAACTGTAAATATCTGAGGATGAAAGGATTTAATGACGCATATACACAAATTTAAAGAAAACTATCTTGGATTTTAGGTTAGATGGGAATAGTTTTTCCAACTATTATGTTAGCAAAGGTCCAGTGGTCCCTGCCTCCACTACAGCCTTCTGAGCCAGAAGGACCACCAGTGCACATCTTCGCTAAGGAAAGCTAAGGAAGCTCTATTAATTAACCCAGGCTAATTAATCAAATTGTTCTAAAATAGTGTGACAATTTATATACATTGGAGGCGTGCCAGGACACTACTGGCACCATAACCATCACAGTTCACTGTAGTGGTAATGGTGTACAGATTGTTCCTTTAATGTAAACTTCTCACATCAAACATGCAAGAGAGCATGTTTGGAGTTGAGAGATGCTGCAACGTGACCTGGAAGTCACAAGGGCAAACAACCGTGGTAACTATATATGTAAACTTGCTGTGTTTTTGGCTAAAACAATGTATAAATAAAAAACTATTCCTTATAAAGTATTACCAAGTCATTTTGGCATGACAGGTGCACTTTACAGTAGAGTTCCATTAAATATACATTTTCTTTCACAGTCATAAATGAGAAATAAAAGACACAATAAAACTACTATATCATTGAATTCTAGAACAGCTGCATCCTCTATTTCAAGGTCACATTGCAAACAGTCCCAATTTGATTGTTCTACTAAGAGAACGGAAATTTTTTTTTTTTTAAAGAACACTTACTACCGTTCTCTTTTCCCCTATGCCATGATCGGCACACTGAAACCCCCTAGCCTAGATATTACAAGCAGCCATTTAGTTACAGAGGAGTTTAATCATGCCCTATATTTTGGGGCAGGGAGCGTTTATTAAACAGTAAATTGTGGTGGAAAAAAAACAAACAAAATTCTGCAAACTTTAGCTCACTAGAGTTGGAAGAATACAAAACAATAATAATATACAGGGTTGGAAGTTTTTCTGAATGTACCTATCTTGGCTTAAAATCTAAAGTTGGCAAATCATCTTGATAGACTGGTGAATAACCCCCATTTTTAATCCCCCCCCCCCCCAATAATATTTAAGACTTGAATTCAGTAGTTCTTATCTGTAATCTGGACCCAAACAGAAGTACAACCCACAATACAAAACAGCTATTTTAAACAGCTAACAGACAGGTTATAATGTCTCACATTTATGTGAAAACAAACTCGTAGCGAGCAATGACACCACTTTCACTGTGCCGCAGGTGAAGTGCCTTAAGTTACTAATACTCCTCTGTTCTATGTGGGGAAAAAAAAAATAGAATAATGCAAAAAAATATTTAGAGAATTTAAATTAGGTTAAGTTTCAGGTCAATAAGCACAGATTGCAATCAGTAAATCATAAACGTAAACTGTCAATTAATGCTGTTAAAAATAGCCTTTAGCGATTAGTCATAATGTAATGTGTAAACCCCAGGTGCCTGTGACAGTTCTGTCACTTCCTAAAAGTTTATATATATATGTGATCAAATTGCTGAAAATAACAAATTTGTTAAAAATATCACAGTCTATTTTTTTTTAACCACAAAAGTATATATTTTATACATGTGATATGGTACAGTATAGTTAAAGAAAAGGCTTTGGTCGTACCTATCTGTGCAGTTTTTAAAGGGGCACTGACACTTTTCCCCTATTTTTCATTTATGTATATGTAAGTTATAAAAAAAAATAAAAAAAAATTAAATGTTGACTATCAACACCTCTACATCCCACCATTGGGTGCCTCCACCTCCGCTCCCTTTCAGTAATTTTTATAAAACTCTATGAATTGCATAAAGACAAAATGAAAAATTACATCACCGTCCACTTCAGCCCATGTAATTTACTAAATCTATATTATAAATTTAACAGAAAACAAGTTCTATTCAGTGGTGGAATTTTCATAAGAAGTTACACTTCTCCTCTAATGTTTCATCATCTAATCAGATCTTTCTATACTGGTCATTCTTGCACACTCAAGGATATTGCATTATATCTCGTAGTCCTCTATTTCTGGAGAGAGGCACTCGTTTATGCCACTAGTAGCACCGAACCTGCTCTCCTTGCTAGACCACGTGGACTAATAGAGGTCACTATTGCAGAGAAGGATTAAGATCCCACAGTGCCCTAAGCAGGTTGCATCCACCACCCCTTCCTTCTTCACACAGGGATAGCCTTTATAAAGATAAAATGGATACATCTTCTGTGTAAATGTCGAAAACTAAGTTTGGATTGTTGTTTTCTTTTCTTTTTTTTTCTTCCAGTTAGTTAAAACAGAATAGTTATCTCCTAAAAGCACCATTACAAACATTTGGCGCCAGTGTTGAAGGTCTGGAGCAAAGTCAAGGGCCTCAATCAAAAAGGTTCCACAGCCGGCAGATAATGACAAATATGATGGACAAAAAGTTCACTTTTTCATAGTAATCTCATTAAAGTAGAAAGATGAGCTAACAGGTAAGGAACACAACCGAAGAGAAAAATACCAAAAGATATTATAAGACACGTCCCTGAATGAAACTACTCTAGACAGATGAGTACATCCTTGCTTGTTCTTAAATACTCTCCACCGGCAGATGTGTCTCACTTCTATTTAAGTATCTACAATAAGCCCAGCCACCTCTAATGAACGGTAAGACACTCTGTCATTTCCTCCATATCACAGTCTCGGGTCCTGCAAAAACTTTATTTCAACATTCCCCGTTATAAGGCCAGTTTCTCTTCACGTCATGGTATTCTAATACTACATTATCTGGTGAATGTAGCATAGAAATAATAGCATCAAACTACTAAATGCCAAGCATAAGATATACATATTTACAAAGCACCAACATTTTCCTGATAGCCGTACAACAGGTTCATGCGACATACCAACTCCAGTCTTGATTAACCTGGAACAAGAGCCCTTCTCAAACGTGCTTACAAGCCAATTGTAATAAAATGACTAATCAATGGTCTTTCACAGTGTATGGTATAACAATATACACATATGATAAAGCACTTGCACACAAAAAAAAAAAGAAGCCAATGCCAATAACCCACATTTTACGTTTCTGCTACATTTTCTACATTGTAAAACAATTATGTGAAGCGTGGGGAGTTGCTACATGTACAATATGTAGTAAAGCCAACGCAGACTCTTGCAAAGTATATACTACAATTACTGTGTGTCTTTACAGTTTTTAAAACTAACTGCAACCATAATATACTTAAATCACACAACCGTGTGAACCCCATGTGTTGCAAAAATATGCTTGTTCAGGTGAGTGCTTCCCCTTCTGTATATATTTTCTTGAGCATATACTGACCAGTCATGCACTTCTCATTGCAGCAGATGCCTCATTAGTGTGGTCCAGAAAAAAATAAAAAACCTGATATATTACAGAGAATCTCTGGATGTTGATTAATCTACACTAGAAGTAACAGGCTGGCAGAAGAATCTCAATTTATGCAGATTAATCTCCTATGAAAGTAATTAAAGTTGGTTAGGACCTGCCAAAACTGGGATACCTTGACACTGTGGCAATCTAAGCATGTTCTGGTCCATAAAATATGACTAAATCTTCATTTTCCTTCCGAGACAGGTGTTCTTATGCATCGCTGATCGATGTAAACTTGTCAAATATTTAGTGCGATGATGTACTGTAAATGATTATGTCGCTGTCTAAGGGTTAAAATCGAATATTTTATTATTTATTAGCTGACATTCCAAAATGAAAAACAATGTATATACAGTGAAATAGATTAAATAAAAACAATTTTTCATGATAAATTTCCTATTAGAATTTTTTTTTTTTTGTTAAGACCAACAATGCACATGGTTTGAACTAGCAAATAGAGCACACTCGTAATGCACGCATATCGGCAGGGCTGAAACTGAGCTAAATAAAGCCCATGGGTGAGTGAGAACTCATTTTTATACATTAATGCATACCATTATTATTATTATTATTATTATTGTTTTATTATGTAAATAGCGCCAGCAAAATCCATAGCGCTGTACAACGAGATTATTGAATCCTTAACATTTTGTTTCCGGTTTCTTCTTCTGTCAAAACATTGGGGACCCTATACATGAAAATTACCAATCATTGGGTCATCTCAGGCTCTCAGCCAATGAACAACGACAGCCGCTGCTTCTGCGCTCAGAAGAAGCGCATCATCTGACCACCAGTGGGGCTAAATGGTTTACCCCATTATTGTTGAGCCAGGCCAGGGTACTTCTGGTATCATAACCACTACAGCAGAGAAACCATTTAAGGAATATGATTCTCAAAATGAAAAAAGTCTATTTAAAAACAAAATAAAAAATAATAATCTGTAAGAGTTGCATGATTGATTTTATAAAAATGTTGAAATAAAGTTACGAAAAATGTATTTATATTCAGACTGCACACTGTGGAAAAAACAAAAACAAAAAATCCCAAACAAACAGTGACAAAGGACAGTGTTACAAACATACTTTTCCTTTGATACCTTAAAAGAGACTCTTCAAGTCACCAAAACCATTGCATGTATAGTAGTTATGGTACTGAGAAACTGGTTTTCCCACAAATTGTTGTAGTTTGTCAAAGTATTATAGTATAGTACTATTAAGTATTTAAGAAACTAATGTTTACAAACGGATAGGCGCTAGAGGTACTGACGGAGTAAAGCAGTGTCACGTGACATGGAAGTCGTCCCCCCTCCCATCCCCCCCCTCCATAGGAAAGCACTGATTCAATGCTTTCCTATGGGGAAGCTTGGATGTTCATTCGGCACTGGTGTGCATAAGTATCAGGTTCTCAATGTTCCTCCAGGAGGAGCATTGGAATGGACCATCTCCAGAAGAGGCCAAGCCTACTCCCTGATGTTACGGGAGACAGAGAGATAAGCAGCATCAAAGGAGCTTCAGCACTTCAAAATGGAAGGTAAAACCTTTTAATTTTATTTCTTGCACACATGTGGGGGCAAAGGGTATCAAACTAGAGACAGGGACACTAAAGCATTAGAAATACAGGTTTGTGTTCCTAACACTTTAGTGTTCCTTTGACAGTTTTACCCCTCCAGCTAAGCCAGCGCATAGGACCTTCTAGCACTAGAACATATTAATTGCAATGAAGTGGTTATAGTGCCCACAAGGGTCCTTTAATGCACTAAAGCAGGGATGGCTCATGGGCTGCAAAACGGCAGGTCTCAAAATGCTTAGCCAGCCTTCAGGCCAATGATAAAGTTTGGTTAGCGCGCTACCTTCTAGCAATCTCTGCACAAATTTTTTTTTATATGTAGGAACCACTATAATAGTACATTATTTATATTTACTGCTTTAAGCAATATTTTTGTTTTTCACATATTGTTTGTCTCTTAAAATACTGTGCATGTCGAGACACTGCACCACAAAAACAATCTTACGTGCTCCTAAGGTTTTTAAAGATTGTTTTATACAAACAATTGCATGTGAAACATAAGAAAAGCTAAACAGTGAGATAAGCAGGTCAGTCTGACCAGTCATTCTGTTCTAAAAAATTCATAACAAAAAGAATTATGAAACTCGATCCCGTTCTTAGCATTTTACTGCTATTAACTGCAAAACCACCACTGCCTCTTCCTTTCCTTTTACAGTCCAAGCTAGAAGCAAGCAACCTTTGGCAGCGCAGGTGTTTTCAGCCTGTACCGCTAAAGTTTTTATAGTAGTTTTGATTATTTACTTTTTAATTAATCTGAAGAGTAAAATTTAGCAATAAACTGAAGGACATTGCAGTTTTCCCATCCTTGACATAATTTGTTTTGTTCTCCAGGGAAAATGATTAAACAAACAAATAACTTGATTAATGAGCACGTGATGGCATGGGTCAGATTGGCTCAAGAGGTCAGTATGAAGGTACACAATTCTGGAATTAAAACAAAGGCACCCCAAAAACCAGTGGCTCGTTGTCAAAACAAAATATTTATTAATACGTAATATAAATTAACCTATTACCCATAATTTTTTTTAATTTTTTTTAATTTAGACCTATCAATCATCTTTCGCTGAATAGACGAGTATTCACTGGGACAGCAAGACCCAACTATCTCACTTCTAGCCACATCCTCTATTAAAATTGCCCATGCAGCAATTGCTGAGATTACAATGAATAGCACAATTACTGGAAGTGCCAGTATTAGTACCAGTAATAGCTAAAGATGGCGGTTATCAACATAGGATCGCTACGACAACCAAAGGGTTCCTATGACTTGATTGGAATCTGATGCATAATCAGCTGTCAACGCACTATTGCCAGCTGCCTTAGCAGTGAAGCAGTCTAACACAGGGATTGATTGGCTGCTGGGCGATCTGATCTCCCTCGGAGCCAATCAGAGTGATGACAGATAAATCAATGTGATCATTGTGAGTGGCCCTCACTGTCATCAGTCAGCCTGAAGGAAACTCTACTAAGCAGTGCGTTGTTAGGGATAGTATTAGCAACAGTGTAGTGAGACAGAGGACCTACTTACACTTCTAGTCCCTTTGTTCGGCTGTCCGTACCCCTCTCCCCCTTGTTCGTTTACCGAACCAACTTTGTGTGGTCCCCTTGTTTGCAAATCATGTTTGGGCTTCAAAAGAAGATGGTGATTGTCCCATTCTTAATAGAATAGGGATGAGGCTTAATGATTATTCTATGGGTAGTTAATGTTTCTTTTAGATATGATACTGGAACACAAGGCTAATGGCCATTAACATACAGGGAATCTAGACATATGGCAAGCTAGAGAGTTAGGTTATATTTAAACCAAACTTCCAGGCCACTTATGTGTGACTTCTCACACCTTACAGAGCAGCTCTGTTGGGGTCCTAGCTTCAAAGAGAAATTGGCCCCTTTTGAAAATGGATTTTTGGAGTGTTTTAGAATATTGTATATTTTTCTGTAGAGGATCCTGGGAGGAAAAGCCCTGTATTATTGTATGGGAGACCCCATGTAGGGGTATGTGCATTAAAGCCGTGTGTAGCCAAAATAAGAGGGGTTGACTCCAAGAACTGTGTGTTGTCCAGTTACTGGGGGATTTTGTCTTGGATATTTTACATCTTCTTCAGCTACAAGGATTATCCAGCGGATATACCTATGCTAGGTATTGGAGCTCCGCTACAAACGATTAGGGTTAGTTAGATTTAGTAAAGGATTATCTAGAGTTATAAATTCTGTCAACATTTGAGGATGGCCACGATAGTCACACAGATATTGTAACTTCTACTGAGAAACAAGCCAAGAGACATGTCAAAAGTGGGCCAAGTCTTGAATTTGGGGAACCACAAGTTCCCCAATAAACCTGTCCGCTGTGTAGCTGGGTTTATGTGTACCCAGGTGATCCCGCAGAATAAAAATATAAAACCTGTATTCATAACTATAGTATCCTTCTGCCTTCCCTCCTTGCATCCCTACCCCTGGCAGTTAAAGATTTTTAGAAAGAAACTTTCCACGCTCATCTTAATCAAGCACAAAGGTGCATCGGCGCTGGCTCCATCTCCTCTGACATCACCACAGAAAGAGTGCCATGTGTGCATTACGATTTACCATTAGGAAAGCACTGAGTCAATGCTTTTCTATGGTGGATTTTAAGACGCTGGATGTCCTCATACACAGGGTGAGGATGTCCAGCTTTGTTTCACTGAGTCAATCTGCGTGATCCAGCAGAAAGCGCCTCTAGAGGCTGTCTGGTAGATAGACAGCAACTGGAGGAAGTCTTAACATTCCAATTAAAACACATTCTCTGAAACTACAATGTTTTACATTGAAGTGTTAAAAGGAACAGAGACACTGCACCCAGACCACTTCAATGAGATAAAGGAACCTGGATGCCTAAAATGTCTCCTTAAAGTAGGAGGGCACACAAAGTCAGTGAAAATTATTAAAATGTAAAATTTGTATGAGTAATGGTCAAGTGAAAAAAAGCCTCATATTAAAACAGCTAAAGCTGTATTCATCCACACTGAATATCAAATGATAATCTAAATGAAAATTGCAACAAACAAAAAACAAACCAACAACCTCACAATATTAGCATACGCAAACTGATAGAGATACACCATCACAAAAGCAAAAACAAGTCAACAAATTCATGAACCTGCATTCACAGAAAAAAAAAAAAAACACAAAACACAAGATTACCTGATAATATCTGTCAATATGGTTATAAGTTGTACGTTACGGGACCTGCGTGTCCCTCTTTTTCCAATAGGTTTCCAGACCTACGCTTCTGCATCTTTAGAACTTAAAGTTATTTATCATATTGGATACGTGCGAGACCTGCGAGCCTCACCCTTTTTCCACTATATATGAATCTATATTAAACAAATAAAAATATATTTACAAAAAAAAAACAACGCAGTATTCATGCTTTATTCTTTCCCTTTAATATCTTGTTGTACAGGGGGTCAGTAGCAGAATATGAATCTGGAGTCTTTACAATAGGGTGGCATGCACAGTCTGTAAAATTTGCCAACAAAATGAAACAGACAAATAAAATAAATAAATGGAACTAGCAATTTCAGAAGAGGTTGGTGATAAAATAGGTAAATGAGAAAACTGCCAATAACTTGCATTTTGTACATCGAAACAAACATGCGCTTCATGAGAGTTCTTCACCCGATTGGCATAATCAACCATTAAGTAGACTTGTAGCAAGCCGAATTGGTCCCATTTAGATTAAATGAAAGTAAAAATGTCAAAAAAAAACCAAAAAAAAAAAACACATTCTCAAATACATTGAAAAAAAAAAAAAAAAGCCTGAACGGGTTAAGGAATTTAATCATGTCTGGAACATTAGTACACATGCATAGCGGACTAGAAACTAAATAAATGTTATTCTTCACCCCTATGATGCCTACTTGGAAACTTTGTTTTACATAAAAATATATGTTAGCAGCGTAAAGCACATTAGATTCTAAATTTGACTGTTACTTTAAGAAAACGAGCAATCACGTAATGTTTTTGAGTCTGCGGATTATCACATGTCATCTGATAAATCTTATTTATTTCTACCTGGTTTTTGTTTACGTAAAACAAAATGCTGCAGACATTCGATTAGTAAAATTACAGAGGGCTTCATGAATCTGGACACTGTAGCTATGGTAACTACCAAATTTCCCTACCTTATTCCTTTGAGAGCAATTTCAGCTCTGCAGGTAACAGTTTTGCGTTTGCATGATTTCAGTACAAAAAATAAATAAACAAATAAAAAGATGTGCTGTTGCCAAAAATCGGTAGCTTAGTAAATCGACTCTAAATTCTTATCTTTCATTCCTGGAAAATGTTCTAGCAGACAGCACTATTTACTAGCATGTCTTTGGATGTGCTTATATATACAGTGCTGACATGCATTTCCTAGAAGCGTAGATGAGCTTAGTCAACCTACAGGAGCTAAATTAAACCTTAGGCGGCTGTATGAGAATATAAGGAGGGGGGGGTGGAGTAGATGAGAGAAGGCTTCCATGATGTATGCAGTATATTATAAGAACCTTAAGCTATTCTACATTTAGAACGTCCAATGTTTTTCAAAATCGATCATTCCTATTGTTTAAATCCAATTGATGGTCAGTAATGGGGTAATAAAAAAAATAAAGAACAGGTTAATTGTAAAATTATTATAAAGCTATATTGCAGGCCCTCTTCACCTACTGTTCTGTTAGGTCACTGTGTTTTGTCAGAATTAACTGTTGTCTTGGTATATCTAGTGAACAGCGCTGAGGAATAGGTTTGCACAATTGTAATTGTTATTGTAAATAAATGAAATAATAAAAACATGCATTTATTCATGCAGATAACAAAAAAAACTTGTTGGCTTTTTTTTTTTTTTTTAAATTCCTTGTTATATCATGGCATGTGAATTACAAGGTAAACCAGTGTAATGAATAAGACATTAAACATATTATATACGTTTCAGGACTGCAAAGAACCTCTGACTTAAAAGGGTGTTCTAAGCACCATATCAACTATATCCTATTGATAATTCCAATTTAAGTCTAGTTTCCATAATAATGTACTAAAATGCATAATAAAAAGGGAAAACGGATCACTTCATTCGGATTCAAGTGTGATAGTTTGGGGACGATTTAGCTTAGTACATTAGTGCATTGTCACCGTGTTCCAATTTTGTCTTTGAAGTAGAAGGCCCTGCGTTGAATTTTAGTGTCATCTCAGGGATCTGTACTTGGACCCATTCTCTTTAATATTTTTATTAGGGATATTGCAGAAGGTCTTGATGGTAAGGTATGTCTTTTTGCTGATGATACTAAGATATGTAACAGGGTTGATGTTCCAGGAGAGATAAGCCAAATGGCAAATGATTTAGGTAAACTAGAAAAATGGTCAGAATTGTGGCAACTGACATTTAATGTGGATAAGTGCAAGATAATGCATCTTGGACGTAAAAACCCAATGGCAGAGTACAGAATATTTCCTAGAGTCCTAACCTCAACATATGAGGAAAGGGATTTAGGGGTGATTATTTCAGATGAATTAAAAGGTAGGCAGACAATGTAATAGAGCAGCAGGAAATGCTGGCAGAATGCTTGGTTGTATAGGGAGAGGTATTCGCAGTAGAAAGATGGAAGTGATCATGCCATTGTACAGAACACTGGTGAGACCTCACTTGGAGTATTGTACGCAGTACTGGAGACCGTATCTCCCGAAGGATATTGATACCTTAGAGAGGGTTCAGAGAAGGGCTACTTAACTGGTTCATGGATTGCGGGATAAAACTTACCAGGAAAGGTTAAAGGATCTTAACATGTATAGCTTGGAGGAAAGACGAGACAGGTGGGATATGATAGAAACATTTAAATATATAAAGGGAATCAACATAGTAAAGGAGGAGACTATATTTAAAAGAAGAAAAACTACCACAACAAGAGGACATAGTCTTAAATTAGAGGGACAAAGGTTTAAAAATAATATCAGGAAGTATTACTTTACTTAGAGGGAAGTGGATGCATGGAATAACCTTCCAACAGAAGTGGTAGAGGTTAACACAGTAAAGGAGTTTAAGCATGCGTGGGATAGGCATAAGGCTATCCTAACTATAAGATAAGATAAGGCCAGGGACTAATGAAAGTATTTAGAAAATTGGGCAGACTAGATGGGCCAAATGGTTCTTATCTGCCGTCACATTCTATGTTTCTATGTAAAATTGAATACCTAAATCTACACTAAGGTCACCATCGCAAATTTTAAAAAACAAAACAAAACATAAATAAACTTTATGACGGACTTCCTCAAATGAAGAACTGTACAAAGAAAGAAAACAAAATAAAAAAAAAATCTACTTCGCTCATAGGTACACATTGAATTTTCCACCCAAATTAGACTAGGATTAAGAACAGCAAACAATGAAAAACAAACAGTAAACTATACTTAGAAGCATGGCCTTGATAAACCTTGCATAACTGAGCTTTGATACAATATTGTTATACCCAGGTCGCCAAATTGCAACATAAATGATCATTATTGGTATCCAACACGCTGTAAACTAGTAATGAGACCTTGAGTTCATAAAGTTTTGAGCTCTAGTAAAAAATATATATATTTCTAACCTCAATCAAATGCAGACCATCCTTTATACTTATTAGATGTTATCGGCAAAACAGGTGTGGAAATGTAATCAATGCACGGATATACGAGGCTAAATGACTAATATATAGCATTCACCCGAGAGAATACATCAGTCCACGTTCATTGTTACACCTCTTCCAAAAATATGTATATATGCGAAATTAGTTGCCAGTATATCAGATTCCCATGAACCCCTTGGACAGACATTCTGCATCACCAATAAGTTTAGACAAACCCTTAATCTCCCAATAGAATGCTAAGGTCGTATCTGCTCAGGTGTCCAATTCACAGATTTTGGTTGGCTGATTACATCACATACTTTCTGTACATTTTTGTTTAATGTGACTTCTCACTAAGCCTGCCTTCACACTAAAATAAAAAAAACCCGGTCAGATCTATAAGTGATAATTACAGCTTATTACTTGGATAGATGAAATACAATTTTATCTTTTTTTTACCAACACTAAATATCTAAATAGTTTTATGTAAATAAAATATCTGACAGACATGTTTGGAGTTATTATTCCACATTAAAGAATTAATAGGACTTGAGAGGTAGGAGTTTAGTTAACTTTTTATTTTTCTTCCCTTTCCCGGAATTGTAGGTGACATTGATCCCGTCACTACAGGCCTAAACCCCCTGAGGGAAAAACAGCAGACACCTAGGATAAGAAATAGCTTAATTACATTTATTTACATGACTCATAACTATGTTCAGAGTTGAAGTCAATGACTGCAAGGTCATAGAACAGGGAACGCAATAATAAAAAAGGGTTTGACTGCAATATACAGTTCATTCACAAAGGGCAGAGGGCTTCCTCTTTGGAAATAATAAACATCAGCAGGTGTACGAACAAAGCCCGTTTTAGTTTATTTTTTATTGCCCAAAGAGACCATACACACACTATATATATATATAAATAAAACTCCAGCATGTAAAAATAACAATAATCCGCTTAGCATTTTGTCTCTCTGTTCTCAGGGCCAGGCAGTAGTAATTGTATATAAAAGGATTTCTATAACTCAGAACTGCCGCTAGACAACTGTAACTGGGTTATTTCAACTGGGAATCGTTGAGAAATAATTATAGAAATTGTACATTTTTGGCCAAAATAGCCAAGTTAGAAAAAAAAGGCACAGTCGGATTTTTCCCAATTTGGCTAATTGTGCCTAAAACTTGACAGTAGACCGCAATTCCCAAGGGAGTGGTTTACCCCATGGTTTAAATTTTTCCCAAGTGAAAAACAAAAACAAAAACATTTTTAAGTTGAAATGTGCAACTTTTTATCTCCAAATATATGGGCACTTTAACCGATCAAATAGCAGCATTATTTTAGAATAAAATAAATAAATTAAAAATGAAAAAACAAAATTAACACCACCACTTTAAGTAGCAACAATTTCCAGCTTTGTAAACATTATTAAAAAAATAAAAATAAATGAAAAAAGTTAATACAATTGCATTGTCTGTCTATCGGTTACTGACCGGTATAACACTTGTGAAGGATCCATAACAGTCATTATTTTACAGGTCAACTCCTTATTGACTGTCACGACAGGGTCAGATGTGCAATAAGTAATTTATCAACAGCTTGCTCTGCAAAGGGAGCCTTAAACTAGCCCATCTGCAGCAGGTCAACAGTCTTTACTGAATACTTAATGATGAAGCTCCCGTCTGAAGAGTAATTGACTTTCATTATTCATTTATCAGGATTTCCCCACTAACATCCTTTTTCCCTGAAAGACATAAAACCTTTCCCATAGTCTAAAAGTCATGCAATCATTGTGGGGTTGTCACTATTTGTTTATAAAATACCATCACACCGACAGGGAGACAGAATATGAAAACCGAAAGCTGAAGTTAAACCACATTTGAGATTTCATTTATCGAATCCAAGGATGATGAGACACACAGTTGTGTTTAAAAAAAAACAAACAAACCAAAAAACAGTACATGAGCTATGGAGTAGTAACCGCTAGTCATAGAATTTTAAGGGGGACTGTAACGTTCCAATATTTTTAATACGATGCTTACTTATCCTTATATTGAACAAATACATATTTACGAGGTGTGAAAAATAAAATTAAATGTACGAATCCCCAGCTCTCTATCCTGTAACTGTACACCTCCATGTTCGCTCCATGACAATCATTTTTGAGAGCTCTGTCCGTTGCACCTTCCATAGAACACATTTGCCGAAGAAGAAAAAAGAAACATGGCTTCCAATATTCCTCTTCATTTACAATGTTTACCCTTGCTTTGCCTTGTCAGGAATTGATTGTGGTGTAATTTGCTAAATGTTTTAAATGGCCACTATAGGCACCCAGACCACTTCAGCTCAGATCCATCTAGGATTAACCCTTTCTGCTGTAAACATAGCAGTTTCAGAGTAACTGCTATGTTTACACTAGGGTTAATCCAGCCTGTGATTTTCACAGTGAGAAGACGCCAGCGTCCATAGGAAAGCATTGAGAATTCTTTCCTATGGACTGGCTTTCCGCGCATGCGTATTCAGCCAATTACATCAGAAGAGGGAGGAGAGTCCCCGCGCAGAGGGAGCCCGGCGCTGGAAAAAAGGTAAGGGATTAACCCTCTTCCTCCCCCTTCAGCGCAGCGGGAGTGGGACCCTGAGGGTACCCTCAGGGCACTATAGTGCCAGGAAAATAAGTTTGTTTTCCTGGCACTATAGTGGTCCTTTGATTTAAAAGAAAATACAGCAGTTCATGCAAAAAAGGTTAACACAAGGTATAGGTCATTTTCAAAATTGTTTTCAATGGTATAGTTTCCAGGGAAGTAACTGTTCTCCCATTTAAAAAACAGTGTACTCATCTTTAAAATGTCAAATTTCAGATCAAGGTAGGTGTATATATAAAAAAAAAAATCTTCTAAATTCTGAATTTTTTTTTGTCAACTGTCAAAGTTTACAAACAAATATTTGCTGCCACACCGTTGCCCATTACTGGCGTACAGGCATAAACTACAGCTCGGCCAGTTGGTGCTACACAGCACAGCTTAGAAGCCACATTCAAGCATGCATCTTTTTGGGGGCTGATTTACTTGTACAATGTTTAGTATTATAGTATTATAACTTCTTTGTTACGAACACATCTGAGGCCAGTAGAACCACTTTCAGCGTATAATCTATTGTTCTAGATCTTCCAGCCTCCTCCTTGCTCCAGTCACAGCTGCTCCTGTGACGGTTATTTGTAGTATCATAAAACACGATACATAGTGTCAGCAGATGTGGAAAGGAAAGCCTTATGCATTTAGTGTGAACACTCAATCACAGGCTGCAGGCTTCATTAACATGTTCAATGCCAGAGGTGAGCAATGTAATCTAGTGCTAAAACATCTGGTGATGAGCAGATTGAAGAGAAAATGTAATCGATAAAAGGGGAAAAACCAAAAACATTGTAAGGGTTAATTAACTTAAATAAACAAAACACACAAAAAATAACTTGCAAGGATGGGCAAATTTTAAGATGATAAAGCTGTGGTTTCATTTTTATTCAATAGGATAGCAAACTTTGTTGAAGTCCTGGAGCTCCACCACACTTACCCATGATTGAGACCCCTATTATTTATCCATCGTTTCTAGCATAAGTGGAATTCAACTCAGGTTATCTAGGGGCGGAACCCACGAACTGTATTTCCCGTCTCTATTTCCCCGCTGGCCTACAAATCTATGAAAATTTTAATTTTTAGGCCATAATAGTTGAATTGAAAAACACAATTGGCTTGGAGTATATTTCTAAAATTTGAAATACACTTTGAATTATTTACATCTCACAATTTAATTAATAATCCACTTTATCACACAGGAGGGGGAGGAAGGGGGGTGCCTAATCAGTTATGCCCCCCCCCCCCCCATCATTTCAGAATTTAAAATTGTCCCTTCAGTGTCTAAGGAATGATTCATGTATTTCACAACCCTCTGCAAACAAAAAGGTTAATAATTAACCCTTTAGCTGCATAAATGCATACATGTAAAAAAATAAATAAACAGACAAACCCACTTTTAAACATGAAGATTATTTTCGTCATTGCCACACAATTAACGAGTGGTCTCTCCGAACACTGAAGACACAGCTATAGAATTAAACGGACAACTGAATCTTCAGATAAAGAAATAAAAGTTAAAAAAAGTTTCAGATCCGTAATGCGACTTTGTTATAATGTAACATAGGGGAAAAAAGGGTAATTAATTAATAATGATTCTCATTTACATTCTCTATACTTCAGGTCAGCACGTTTCACACACTGTCCATCAACACCCCAAAATTATATGCATCAGGAAAACACCATGGATCAAAAATAAATAAAATAAAATTGATGATTATCCAATGTTCCTCTCTGAAAATCCTTAGTTGCTTAGCTGTGGAGATGGTGGAGGCAGGATTCAGGTAGTTGAGACAATATTTCATTTCCCTGCCTGTAATAAAGTATATGCGGACAGGGGGCCTACCCACATTACAGCAAAACAAAAACGTTCCAACCCTTTCCCCCAAAAGGGAATAAGAATGCATCAAACAGAAAACCTTTAAAACTAATTCATGGCACAAAAATAAACACAGGTAGAACCGATAACATGCTTTCCATCCGTTTCTGAATTTGGTTGTACAGTCACGATTTTTTGGTCCTCTCCCACTCAGGGGAACGGTCCCCAACAAGCATAAAGCACTGGGACCCTCCAGGTACCAATGCAACAAGGCTCCCTGCAGGTTCTTTCCTCAGTGGGTGAGGACCAGCCTGTGGAATTGGCAGGCAGCCTGACATGCACTGACACCAGATCAAGCTGCCAGTTAAGCCACCTCCTTTCTGGGCGGAGTCACACACTGTCCATCAACACTTCATACTCTCCCACCACTTCCCGATTCTTTAGATGCGGGAGTAGAGAGAGATATTTTTATTTCCAGACTGCATGCCCATTTTTATATACTTGGTAAACGGTCTACAAATTTCAAATTCTGGCAATCTCATAGTGAGTATCTGCATGATCGACTCCAAGGGCAACTGGCTTTTATATAATGTAGACTTTTATATTGTAAATCTTGACCATATAGACACAGCATATTCTAGCACCTTTATACAAAACATCGCAGGTGCAGACAGGGTAGTATACATCTCCTAGGACAAAGTTGATCCCCTGCAACTCCCTATTTTTGTGACAGTAGGTTTATGAACAGATTATATGTCAAATATGGTTTTTCTTCTTTTTTTGGTTTGTCTTGTTGACCTGTTGTACAGAGCTGTGTAATATGTTGGTGCAATAGAAATGAATACGGTATCCGGGAGAATGAAGGGAGAGTACATTATAGTACTGTCATCCACCAGAATTCTCTTTGGGCTACATCTGACCTATATAGCCATGGCCTGCCTGAAAAATAAACTAGGTTTATTATGCAATTTATCAGTTCAGCCCATGCGTTAAAATACTTTGGTTCTCTGCGTGACCAACCTAGACAACTATGTATTACATTAAATGTCTGATTACAAACTTGGACAAAGGCTGACCTATTTACATTATGTAGAGCACTAGATAATCTGGGTTATTCATTAAGGTGTGAATTGTCACAAGGTCAAAGCGAATTTCACATTTTCAGACTAAAACGGCAGATGTTCTCCAAGTAAGCTATGTTTTACTATACTATACTATAATTACAAATAGTGATATTCCACCTACCCCTCTATTCATAGGTTTTAAATTCTATTTTGATCGGATATTGAAATTCACACAGTGTTTTTGAAAGTCATGTGTACAATAAGTACATTCAGAGAGTTCTTTCGCAGTGTCCTTCATTAACCAATTCTTCAGTTAAAGTTCACATGATCACATGAAGACCAAGGTTAGCAAACAAATATTCTCTGCCTTAAGATTACAATGGGGAAAGAGAGAAATAAATAAAATGTTTGGTAACTTTTTAAAACATATGATGTGTGAATCTAGAGGGGAAAAAAACAACAACAATGATCTGGATAGCTTATTAAGGTAAAAAGAGTTGATTTAGTTGAAACTTTTCAGTTTCAACATTGTTAGAGACGTGTAGAAAAGAGACACTCCTGTATGTGTACACATACATACATGCCAGAAGCAACAATATACGAGGTCACATACTGGAGGTCAGATTACTCCCTTATCACACACTATCCCACGACCTCAAGAACTGAGCAATACAGGATATAAGAAAGTAACCTCTATTAGCCCTTATTAACTCTTTCAAGCTGGTGTCTCAGTGGAGTTTCACTTAAGCAATCCCTAGACATTTTTAAGTCTACAAAGTCTTTAAATTACAACATATCTGACCTGATTGTTTAAACTACACCCATTGCCTCCAGGTCTAGATATTATCTACACCCCTTCCCACCCCCGCTATGACAAGTGAAATATTTCCAGGCTAGAGGAGAGACTACTAGACAGTGTTGGCTGAAATGGATATGTCACAATTCCTTATTGTGCTGTCATCCACTATAGAACGCTAATAAAAATAAATAAATAATAAAATAAAATTAATCAGCTGGTTAAAACAGTTGTAAAGTCACTAACTTATAACCGGGAATGCAGGCTTGTATCCTGGACAGACCACCAACCCATAAGTGTTAGATTGTACGCTTTTTTGAGCACAAAAAAGCTCCTTTCTACAACTGTCTGCGCAGTCTATGTCTACAGGTTTAGAATTTAAATTAATAGAAATTACTTTTCTCGTGGCAGGAGTGCATAGAAATATTTTTTAGACCTACAGGGGTACTTCTGCATTAAAGGGTGAGAAGAGGAGTCTATCTTATGGAAGTCATGATTTTCAGTCTACACAGAAAGACTATATAAAAGTTTCTCTAGTGCTGTTTATACAATGAATGAATGGATTGTTGGGGTTAGATTGCCCAAAAAGCAAGCACATAAATGCAAACTTTACAACATGTGGTTTCATTCTATGGCACTGAAGACAGGAACTATAGGACATCTCTACTAGAAAGATTATGCACTACTAACATGGTTATTCACGAAAGTGTGGCCCAGTGGAAATTCTAAGTGAATTAAACATCTTAGACTAAATCAATCAACATAAAAAAATAAAAAAATAAAGTAAAAATACAAAAGCTACATTCTAAGTTTGCCCGAATATAATAATTAATTACCAAAAGTTCATTGTAATCCCACACTATATGGTTTTTGGGAACCAAATTCTTATCACTAGTACTTTGAAGATTCCATATATATGATACATGTACACTCAGACCCACACACAATCATAACATTATGCATTAACCCGAAAATGAACTGGAATCCACAAAACTCACATAGGTCCTCGTGTTAAAGATCAATGTTTTTGTTTCCAGAATGTTTTAAATAAAAAAAAAAAAAATACAAATAGAAATGAACAAAAATAGAGAGAGCAGAAGTCAATAGTTCCTGAACAAACAAAAGATACCTGATAATATTCAACAGTCGCCTTCCTGGTGTTACATGTGGGACAGCTCTCTGTTTGTTACAACTGTCTAATTATAAAAATAAATATGTTTTGCCATCCACTCCTATTGACATGCATGCACTCTGAGCCAGTGAAAAACAGAGCAATCAGATGCTTCTCTATGAGAAGCATTTGATTGGGACATGGAGACGGAAGGAGAAACATCAGACTGGGTGTGGAGACCAGCGAGGGGAGCATTCCAGGAAAGTTTATTGCTCATTTTAGAAATTTTAAAATTATGGGGGAGGGGAAAGGAAGAGGGGGGACAGGGGGAGGAAGAGGCACCAAGTTAAAAATATCCAAATAAGGCATTATTATTTTGGGAAAGGGGAACATTTTAAATAAGTAGCTCTTTAAAAAACTGTGCTACCTCGCAAGCCCAGTAGCTCAAACTGTCAGATCTAGAAATGCTGCTACAGTTGGTGATGGACTAAAACAATAATTGATCAACTTAGGTGTTCCAGCTGTTGAATATTCAGATTGATGGGCATCATGATACTATAGTTAAAAACAGCTGGTGTGCCAAAAATAAGCTATGGATGCTCAAAAAACAAACAGACTGTTACGGTTTTTCTTCATGTTATCTTGTATGGTTGAACGAATACGTTCGTTCTATGAGGGGAAAAAAAAATATGGAATTTTAATTGGTTCTAAAACATTAATCATTACAAAATCCTGATTCATCTTAGCTCTGTAGCACCAGACAAAAGCAAGAGGCAGCTGGCCTTGTCTTTAAACATTTTTCGGGGTTTCTGTCACATCTCCATTCCTTTTATACATAACTCAAACCTCAGTCTTATGTTAAATCATAAACGTATCATAATAGAAATCTATTTTTGCTCTATTACATCTGTGTAAATGATGGCCAAACAGACAAGCCACTAATTAGAATGGACCAGTGTAAAAGTAATAACACAAGTGTTTAAGAGACGAGCAATTGAGACTTGCCTACATAAGCACACTAATAATTTGTCTCCAACGTAGAACAAATAAAAGATTTTTTTTTAAAGTATGGAAGGGCAAGTGTAACACTAAAATGCAAGCCATAATTAATGGTTTAAAGTGCAAAAAGTTCTGTAAAATATGTTGAATTAACACACATATATATATATATATATATATATATATATATATATATATATATATATATATATATATATATATATATATATATATATATATATATATATATATAAATAATTTTTTTTTTTTTTAATTTGCATCTTTCAAGGTCTCCTAAATTGCTGCAATGTATGTCCTACCCTCATAGTAAATACTTCTCATCAACAAAACACTACCTTAAAAGACCAATATAGGCACCCAGACCACTTCAGCTCAATGAAGTGGTCTGGGCGCCAGGTCCACCAGGTTTTAACCCTGCAGCTGTAAACATAGCCGTTTCAAAGAAACGGCGATGTTTACACTGAGGGTTAATTCGGCCTCTAGTGGCTGTCTCCCTGACAGCCACTTAAGGCTGTTTCCGCGATTCTCACTGAAAATCACAGTGAGAAGATGCTGATATCCATAGGAAAGCACTGAGTATTGCTATCCTATGGCCGGTTTGAATGCGCGCGGCTCTTGCCGTGCATGCCACGCTGACGTTGGCAGGAGGAGGAGAGTTCCCCAGCGCCGGAGAAAGGTAAGTGTTAACCCCTTCAGCCCAGCGGGAGGGGGGCCATGAGGGTGTTGGGGACCTAAGGACTACATAGTGCCAGGAAAACGAGTTTGTTTTCCTGGCACTATAGTGATCCTTTAACACTTACCACGACTTAACAAAACCTTAACGAAAAATTATCACATAATATAAAAGCTACCCGATGATGGAGTATGTATAAGCAGTGCCGTCTTACCAGCATTAAAGGCAAAGCAGTGCCTACACAATCACTCACAGGAATAAAAAAAATTGAAATTATCTATGACATGAAGCTAATATTTATTGATACGTCCAACAAAATCTGTATTTAAACATTAAAAAAAAAGCTGTACAGCAGAGATTGAACACCACAAATGTTTGGACAATTTTACATGAGCCTTGAAGTTAGAAAAGGAGACAATGCTTCCTGCATGTTTGTGGTGGGGCGAGGAATTAGAAGGAAGGGAGAAACAGCAGATTTAAAAACTGTGTGTCAATAGGTGCAGAACAGAGTTAAAGAAAACCGAAACAAAGCCATTGTTGCTTCATAGCCTTCCAACTTCATTGACCTCCGTTCAATTTCTTTCATTATTTACGTTTATAAGGTAGCAGTGGGAGGCAACTGACATGGATGGTAAAAAAATATTATAAGAACTTTATTATAGATTTACGGGTTAACTAAATTGTTTGTGGATTAGGTCTTGCTTATGTACAATTAGTACATGTACGTTTTTTCGTCAAGGTCAAAATATGTATTTGCAACAGCAAGATTGAATGTACAGATAACAGCTGATAATAAGGTGATTAGTCCACCTAAATGTTTTAGTGAAGAGGGTTTGAAGATTCTGAAAAAGTATTCCGAATTAATATACTAAAAAGTTGGCAAGCCTATGGTGCACCTATGCTCGTGGGGCTCCTGGGGAAATGCCCAGAAAGTGCCCATACGTTAAGACGGCTCTGTGTATAAGTTGATAACAATGCTATACTGTGGTTCTGGAGACATTTATAAAATCATTTGACTTTATTCTTGCAATTTATTATGATGTCTCGAGAATCTCTGAATGGCATTATCTTCTACTACAACATATATAAATTCCACTGCTTAGTTGCTGAATTTTGCAAACAATATATACTGCAGACGTGCAGATACCAGTCTCAAACGACATGCATAATTTGATGCCAGAAAATTCATTCAGGTACCGGCAGCTGTGCACACATTCATTTACAAAAACCATCTTGAAAGAGACAGAAAAGATGTTACAGTAGGTCTACTTGTCAAGTATGCTCCCATCAGAGAGTGCAAGGATTCCGAACATGAAATCCAAACCAACATGAATCAGTTTCGGGAGACAAGAGGGGCGGCTCTGGGTGGCAAGAGTAGAATTAACGGGTAGGAGATCTCTTAATTTATAGATCTGCAGGTAATTTTACTAGCACAGTGTATAAATTATGTGTATATCTAACAGAAACAGACTGCAATCTACATTTTTTGTGGAAGAATGCTCTTTTTACAACTGATAAATCAGCACTGATTAGGATTTATTTAGAGGTTTACATCTGTAAAACGGTTTTGTTTATTTTATTTTTTTGTACAGGACAAAGAAAGAATTTAGCTTTGTACAATGAACTCAAAAAGCAGCAACACGTTTCAACCTGATGTGACACTCCAAGAACCCATATCAGATGGAATGTACGATGCTTCCCCCTCTCTCCATCACTGTAGATCTCCCAAGTCCCTATAATCACCCAATATTGGATCTTTCCAATGCCCTCCCTCCATGTTTCTTTCCCTCTCTTTTCTCATCCAAACTCAGTGTGTGCATGCGCTCTGACCCGGTTAAAAGGTAAAATCAAATGCCTTTCTTTTATTGGACTTAAGCGCAGCTCCTGTGACATCAGATGGAGCATGCCGTGCAGCTCCAGCAACTTTGCCCAGTGTTGATTAACACCTGCATTTAGAATGCTTTTCAAGCGTTTAGAACAGGGTGTACCGTGGTGAATAATGCCAATAGGACATTATTAATTGGTTTAACCCAAAAAAAAAAAAAAAAAAAAAAAAAAAAAAAAAAAAAAAAAAAAAAAAAAAAGGTGGGGTTGGAGAATCTTTACATTTCATACTAATTAGTTTTGCTTCCCAATGAATGCATGCACTCTGACCTTCCCTTCCAACATACCAGTATTTTTATTTTTCCAAACAAATACTGCAGTAGATGATCGTATGACTTGGATTTTTGTGAATTGTAGTTCAGCAGTTAACACTCTAATGTAGAAATTTAGCAATTATACTAAAACCCACAAAAGTCCTTGCTGTGACCCAAAAAAACACAGCTACTCGGATAAGCTCAGACATTTTATTGATGGCGTGATTGGCTGACTAACTTCCTGGCTTTGGTGAGCATTCGGCAGCAGCTGCACAGTCTGGGGAGTTGCAGCAGACACAAGAAGTTCAAGTGTGAGTATAAATTATTTAGCAATGACTTTTTTTGTTTTTAAATTTATTGCTTTAGCATGTTTCAGTGCATAAAAAAAAAAAAAAATAAGAGAGAGTGGCTAAACTTTAGCCTGGAATGTCCCTTTAATAACTGGACCGGAACTGAAATATGATGTTGAAGTAACAGATGTCAATGTGGTTAACACACCCAGGCGCTGAACACCAAGTACAGGGCAAGGGTACAGGGCAGGTCCAATAAGCAGAATGTTTTTTAAAGGGGTGTGACCATTTATATGCAGCTTACAAAAGAAAACACATCTTACAATTGCGTTCGCAGTCAACATATTTTTTACATGGTTGCCAAGTCAATCACATGTCCTTGAGACTGTGTTAATATTAGACAACACAACCTGACCTCCGCTTGACATTCCATTGGAGTCCAACCTTGAACTGTGAATGAACCTTGAACATTATCCACAGCAGCTTTTTCCCTCATCAACATTTTATTAATAGTGTCCAATTTCCAGTGATCCTTCACTTCTGACGTTACAAAGTCACCTTCTTGACAAAAAAACACTGTAGGGTATGAGATACAAAAAGGATAAAATAGACAAGAAAATTCAACATGAATACATAGCAACTTAACCCCCACCGTACGGATCCAGTCTAGCCCGAACCCCAATGTTAAGATCTTCAAAAAAAGCATCAATAAAAAAAAATTAAAAAAAAGTGAAAAATTAAAAATTGGAAGCTAACAAAAATTTGGAAGAAATAGAGTTAGTTTTCATGGTATTTCATTTACAATTTATATAACATTTCTAAGAATTGTGTTCCCCTTCCATTTTTTTTGTCTGGGGAAAAAGAGGAATGCATGAATACAGTGACGATTATTTGTGAGGAGCTGAAATAGTTTGTCTAAGCTATGCTTGGAACAATCTAGTTACTGCTCAAAAATCGCTTGCAAGTGAAAGGGTTAAACACACTTGACAGGTCAAAACATTGGTTCCAACTGCACTTTGCACTGTATTAGTCACTCCATTTGAAAAATGGTCTTACTGTAAGAGGACTGTGGGAAATCCACTTAATGGTCACACACACTAAAGACACGTCTACTCTCCCCTAATTAATGCCAAGTCTTCGTGTGTTGACCTTTTGTTCTGGCCTATTATCCCTACAAAGTACAAGTTCAGATACTTAAGAAAAAAAAAAAAACACTTAATTGGGGAATCCAGCATACTTGGTCTGCAAAGGATATGAACGCATTGTTTGCCGAGTGACGTGGGTTATAGTTCACAACCTAACCCGATTACAAAAGGATACACGTCTGAGCACATGTCCCTTGCATGCACGTACTTTCTGGAAATTTGTTCCGTGTTAGAATTAACTACTGCTATACACTTTATATGTCTTTTTTTTTTTTAGATAAAAAAAAACAAACAAACAAACAAACAAAAAAAAAAAACACAACAAACGGGTTTATAAGGGAAGTTATAAAAATAGAATAATCCATTTAAAATACCTGTACGTTTGCCTCTAGGATATTTACAATAGGCAGTGACTTGACAGTTCGTGAGGTTTAATATACCTATGGCATTTTAACCCTTTCAGTACATGCACAAAGTACAGCAAAAACACATTTAAAGCGGTTTGAAATGCACACTCAGTACAAAGCAATAGTCCTGAACACACTATAGCTGTAAGAATGCTTGAAAAAAAGATTTCTTCTTCAGGTAGCGTCATTGGAACTCTGAGGCCACCTGCAGAGGCAGGAGACGTGGCTGTTAAACACGCACAAAGCAATGAGATCACTAAGAGGAAGCATGGTTCAGTAAGAAAGTAAATGGATCATTGCTACGTTAATACAAACAGGGTTATTCACTCAGGTGGGAATTACAAGAAATTTTAAGTGAATTCAGAGCAAAAAATTCTAAATTTAGACAAGAATTACTGACCTGGAAGCATAGCTGGCTTGGAGAATGTTCCAAATTCAGCTATATTTACCTTAAATTTTCTTAAATTCACTTTGAGTTCATGACAATTCTCAATTTAATAAATAACCCTGAAAATAATGATAATGTTTTTAATTCAGGTTGTGTTGTATTTTTCATCAGTTCTAGTTTATTCCATTTTCTTGTACATACAATTTAGTCAGTCGCACTATAAAATATGTTCATTAAAGGGACTCTCCAGTGCCAGGAAAACAAACCGTTTTCCTGGCACTGCAGGTCCCCTCTCCCTCCCACCCCCCATCCCAGGTTAAAACCCCTTCAGTGACTTACCTGTATCCCTCTGCGCTGGTTCAGGTTCCGCCCATGCTCCTCTCCCGCCGACGTCATCCGGGGGAGACCTATTGCGCATTAGACCTCCCCATAGGAAAGCATTGAAAATGCTTTTAATGCTTTCCAATAGGGATTTCAGCGACGCTGGAGGTCCTCACATAGCATGAGGACGTCCAGCGACGCTATAGCACTGTGCGATAAACCATCTGTGCTATAAACCAGTTAGTGCCCTCTAGTGGCTATTTAGTAGACAGCCACTAGAGGAGGAGTTTACCCTGCAAGGTAAATATTGCAGATTATGAAAACTCCAATATTTACAGTTGCAGGGTTAAGGGTAGTGGGAGTTGGCACCCAGACCACTCCAATGGGCAGAAGTGGTCTGGGTGCCTGGAGTGTCCCTTTAAGAACAAATAACTTATTTTATATTACTAAGAAAAAAAACAAACAAAAAAAAAAAAAAACAGAAAAAAAATAAAAAAACCACGATTAAAATGCTTAATAAAGGTACAACAACTTATCAAGCCACTAAAGGGGCCTTCTGAACACCATAGTCCCCGCAGCTTTGCCCAGGTGTGCTGTGCCACAGTTTTGCATAAAACTTTACCGGTAGTGTCTGGCGTTTCTCTTTCACATTAGTTATATCAAACTTGCCAACGATTGGAAGGAATTCATTGGCTGAGAATGTTAGCTACACCCTAAGCCAATAGATTTCATCCAACTCTGGACGGAGTTGATATATCCAATGCAGAAAGGGATCAACTTCTTCAATAACACCAATAGAGGGGCTTGACGATGGGTAGTCAGGGTACTCACAGTTTGCATCAAACCGCTTTATATTGTGTGAACTTTGCATTCGAAAATAATATTATATATAATATATATATATATATATATATATATATATATATATATATATATATATATATATATATATATATATATATATATATATATTCTGTGGTTTAAAAAGAATCGGAGGGAGGGGTGGGGGGGGAAATCCTATAAAGAATAGGTCTTAATATTAATAAATAGATAAAGAATATTCTATAGTTTATACCATTTATTAGTTACAATAACTTTATGTAAAATAAATAAATATATTTCTATACACACACACACACACAGTTTTTTTTTTTTTAAACCATCTCTACAACCTTTTCAAACACAGGTTCAAATCCTGGTAGCAGATAGTGAGAAAATACATAATATATCACATAATGTAATATACTATTAGATTTTGGGTAGGTTTGCATTTAAATCTAGATCAGAGTAACAATTTTTTTATTTATTTTTTCAGACTGTAAACTTAAAGTTCTGAAGTTTCCCCTTTCTAAATTACATACTACATTTTATTTACTATTATAACTTTTTATATTTTCAAACAATAAGCATTTGCTTGAGTGCCATGAAATTGGCAAGAGGAGAATATTACCATTAAACATCCAGTAATAAGCGGATTCAGTGTCCTATACTATAGGCACCAAATCAACTTTCAGTCAATAAAGCAGTTTTAGTGTATAGCTCACCTAAATGAAGGTGTTATGGTGCCTGGAGGCCGACTCTGTGCATTCTTACCATAAGGGGTTAAACCATTCTCGAACAATTTAACACCAAAGGTTGCCTCCAGTGCCTAGCTCCAGGTCACCTAGGCAGGATCCGGCTTCTGAATCTTAGTAACAAGAAGCATGGAGGGCCACAGGGCAATGTGGCACTCCACGCTTCCTGTAACTTTGATTCAGAAGAGGAATGGCACTGGAGGCAACCTTCCGGGATAAACCATTCGAGAACAGTTTAACCCCTTAGCTTCATTTATTTTATGTTATGGTGACCGGAGTGTCCTTTTAAATCAGTTTATGAAGCCATAGTTACACCTCCCTGCATGTGACTTAGCCTTCCTAGACACTTCCTGTAAAGAGAGATCTAATGTTTGAACATTCTTTATTGCACATTCTGTTTAATTTAGCATTTCCTATCTCCTGCTAGGTTGATAGCCTCTTGTGTGTGATTAAAGTTCAATTTATGAAGCAGGAAATAAAAATGGATAAAGCAAGTTAACCCCAAACACAATTGTATAAGTTCTGAGCTAAAACTGAAACGTTTGCTATAGGTCTGTTCAACCATAATTAACCTCTTTCATATTAAATGCACCCACATTTATTATATCTATCTTTTTTTTCCCAGGAAAGGGGGCGTTCATTTCACATCAAATATTTAGATATGAAACAATTTAAAATTAATCAAAATCTTAAAGTGTAAGAAATTATGAAATGTTCTTTTCCAACATTTGCATGGCATTAATACACACATTTGTGTTCAGGGAGTACCCCCATCTACAGGTTGAGGGTTTTGGAAAGTTAAAGGGCCAAATTATGAGCTTGCTCATTTCAGTTTTTACACAATGAGATTTGCCAGATTGGTTTGCTGAGCCGGTCACCTTTGTGACCGTTTGGCAGCACAGGAATTAAAATTACCTCCATCATGGTATACCATGCAAAAGTAGACAACCCGGGGTATTCAAAATGGGGTGTGTCCAGTATGTTTTAGTAGCTACTTTTTTGCATTTTGTCACACAAAAACTTCCCTTTTCCTGATATTATTCATTTTTCTGCTCTTAAACACTGATATTTGTGTTCAGTTAGAGAGATATATATATATATATATATATATATATATATATATATATATATATATATATATATATATATATATATATATATATATATATATATATATATATGCGGCATGTATAGGATATATGCGATGTGGAAAGCAAAAGCATTTTTTTCTCCCAGTAGTGTTCGGGGCACTTGGGGCTTCAGCAGATTCCAAGAGTGACATCTGAGATCGCTGTCCAGAAGAGTGCAGTTCTAGGAACAGCTAAGATACTATGCAGAATCCTCAGGCTCCCAGACTCTGGTAGAGTAGTCAGGAATGAAAAATACCAAAAACATCCAGTGTGGTGAGAAAAATAATTTTACAAAAATGTATTTTGCTAATAAAATAAGCTTTTTTTTTTATGCCAGGTCTACTACAGGAGTCAGATGCATACATCAAAATACTGTGTGCATAAGTTACAATTAAAATTATTTATATAGAGCCAACATGTTCTGCAATGTTGTACAAAGGGTAAACAAGACAAACTTTAATTGTACACTAGGCACCCAGACCACTTCATCCAATCGGTGCAGTGTCCCTGTCCCCTTAAATCATGCAGCTGAAAACTTTGTAGTTTTAGAATAAATGCAATGTTTACATTGCAGGGTGAAGACTACCTCTAGTAGACAGCCACTAAAGGCACTTCCTGCAGTTTTACAAAGTTTAACTCCATGAAACGATGCTAGACGTTCTGACGCTTTGAATGAGGATGTGTAACGAGAACGTACCCCAACACGCAGGATTCAGCTAAACAGAAGACAAAACAGAGGAGAGATACGTCTACCGGACCTTAGAATGGCCGGACTCGACGTATATGAGAGGAGGCAGAGTCAGGAACGATCCGAAGTCAAGGGCACAGAGAGACAGCGTAAACTAGGACTAGCCGGGGTCTGGTACACAGTAAACAGGAAGCCGACAACCAGAACAGATAAGGATAAAGAGAAACCGTAGTCAGAAACAAAGCCAAAGTCAATACGGAGAAAACACAACTGAACACAACAAGCGCTAAAGGGAACTGAAACAGAAACCACGATAGGGCAGGGAGTAAAGGGAGAGGTAAGTTTAAATAGCTTCTAAACTAATGTGATTGGCTCCTGTCATATCCACACCCCCAAAAGGTAAGTGTATGGGGAGTGTGGCATGACAGGGGCCAATGGGAGCCTTTTAACAATTTAGGCTCCCACTGTCTCTTTAAGAGCGCGCCCGAGACTCGCGGGGCGCTCTTAGATTCAGGCGGGACACGTGCACTGCCCGCCTTCCTAGTGAAGCTGTCAGATGAGCCGCTCGCGGCTTGTGCAGCAGCAGGACCGCGCGCGGCTCGAAGAGAGGACCGCGGCCGGCCCCTGGATAAGGTAAGTAACGCTACAGTATGTCCACTATCTAAAAACACCCATAGGAAAGCACTGATTCAATGTTTTTTTCTATGGGAAAGGCTTAAAAGGACCACTATAGTACCAGGAAAACAAACTCGTTTTCCTGGCACTATAGTGCCCTGAGGGTGCCCCCACCCTCAGGGTCCCACTGCCGTAGCGCTGAAGGGGGAGGAAGGGGTTAGTCCCTTACCTTTTTTCCAGCGGCGGGCTCCCTTTTCTGATGTCAACTGCTGAATGCGCATGCGCGGCCAGTGACGCGCTCGCATTCAGCCAGTCCATAGGAGAGTTTTCTCAATGCTTTCCTATGGACGCTGGCGTCTTCTCACTGTGAAAATCACAGTGAGAAGCACCGAAGCGCCTCTAGTGGCTGTCAATGAGACAGCCACTAGAGGCTGGATTAACCCATAGGTAAACATAGCAGTTGTTTACCATAAAAATGGTTAAATCTAGCTGGACCTGGCACCCAGACCACTTCATTAATGCCTAATTTATATTTAAAAAGTTCTAATGGACTCTAGCATCTCCAGCAGAAAATGCTCAATATGGTTTATTTAATTTGTCTGAAATTCATAATGTATAACTGCTCAACCAACTACTTATTAAATGGTCACCTTCATAATGAAGCATTTTCTTTGGTGGGGTGTGCAGAAGTGGGAGGCAGAAATCTCTGGGTGATCAAGGAGGCTACCTTCTTAAGATGTCTCGCATGTGTATGTTTGTGGAGTATCTTTTTCCCCTGATGCTCCCTGCATATATGCAGTGTTTGCATAGAATGCCAGGCTGTGCCAAGACAGGCTTACATTTAAATTGTTTGGTGTGTTTGTTTGTTTGTTTTTTACAAAAAAAAAAACCCACAAATTTAAAAATGTTAAAGTTATCAATTAAAATGTGCCGTCAACGCTAACGCACATGTTCTTTCCATAAAAATGGATCTGGTGTTTTATATCTGAAGAAAAGCAAGACACAGAAACTTGTAGACAGAGGTTAATTGTAAAGAACTACCAGGCCAAAGTTCTAAAAGTCGAGCAAGCAGAATTCCATTGTTTTCTATGGTGATTGCTCCAATTTTAGAAGTTTGCTCAAAATGTCTGTGACGTCAACTTTAGACTAAGCACACGTAGAAACTTTTGGAAAGTCATAAATAAACTACAAACTCCCCCAATCCACTCCCAACCCTCCACTGTCAAAGTGGGTAACCAAACCCTGCAACTTCCTTTAGATGTTGCAAATGCCTTTAACAATTATTTTGTCGGATGCTCTACTGCCCTGATTGACAAGCTAATAAATGACACGCATCCTGAAACTACAAATGTGGATCAGGCCCCACTAAATTTGCAAAGGCCCAATATAGATAAGTTTAATTTTAGACCTGTACCTGTTAGTGTCATTAAAAAACATCTTAATAATCTAAAAATGAAAAACCAGTCCGGACCTGATCAAATCCCAGCAATGCTGTTGAAGCTCAGTGCGCCGGCAATTGCTAAACCCGTCTCAACTCTAATTAACGAATCCTTGGTGTCTGGATACATACCCAAACTTTGGAAGACTGCGAGAGTAGTGCCTATCCATAAAAGTGGTGACACTACTTTGGTTTCTAACTATCGCCCAATATCATTGCTCCCGGTATTGTCAAAAATCTTAGAAAAATGTGTCCATACGCAACTTTGTGAGTACTACCAACAATTAAACTATCTGACCCCTGATCAATCGGGCTTTCGCCAGAATCACTCCACTACAACTGCCCTCCTAAAAGTTTGCAATGACATCCAAACTGGCATGGAACAAGGAGCCCTAACTGGAGCTATTTTCCTTGATTTTGCTAAGGCCTTTGACACAGTAGACCACGACATTCTACTGCACAAACTCGAAAACTCAGGTATTGGTGATCATTCTTTAAACTGGTTTCGATCGTATGTATCGGATCGCTCGCAATATGTGTCCATTTCTGACAGTGACTCCCTCCCTCTCCCGGTCACGTGTGGTGTTCCCCAGGGTTCCATTCTCGGCCCCCTACTATTTACATTATTTATAAATGATCTGCCTTATGTCTGCCAATCCTCAAATGTACACATGTACGCAGATGACACGGTAATCTATGCGAGCAAACCCAATCTACCGCAACTTGAGGCTTTGCTCCAAGACCAGTTTACAGAGGTAGAAAAGTGGATCGCAAAAAACAAACTCTTCCTGAACACTGACAAAACTGTCACAATGATCTTTGGAACAGTACCTAAATTGCACAAATTACACAATCCCCACCTATCCATCAAAACAAATTCAAATGGCACACTGACCGCAGTCCACTCTTTCAAATACTTGGGTATGATATTAGACCCCAATCTATCTTTTGGCCTGCACATAGAAAAGCTTGCATCTAAACTTTATCCAAAATTAGGTGCCCTGTACAGAAACAAAGCCTGCCTAAGCCCTACAGTAAAGGAAAAGATTGTACAGCCAATGCTGATGCCAATCATTGATTATGGGGATGTAGTATATGCGTCTGCATCGCGATCCCACATTAATAAACTCAACACATTGTATAACTCGTTCTGCCGATTTGTGCTACAATGTAATTACAGGACCCATCATTGTGACATGCTAAAGGAACTAAACTGGCTGTCGCTGGAATCCAGACGCACCCTTCATATTTCCAGCCTTGTTTTTAAGAGCTTCTCTGGGAAACTCCCACCCTACCTGAACAAAATGCTTTCCTTAGCTGTTCCCACTTTCTATAACCTCCGATCCAGTACAAGCACTTTAGTCTACCTCAATACAAAAAGAAAGCGGCCCGATCCTCCTTCTCCTACAGAGCGCCGCAATTGTGGAACGACCTCCCGCACAATTTAAAATCTTCCCTAAGCCTAAAGTCATTTAAGAGATCCCTCTCTACATACCTCAAAACAGAATGCATGTGTCATGGTTGATTATATATTTCCTGCCTGTTCTATGTTAAATTTTGTATATATTGTGTATTAATATTGTTTTTGTATTTTGTTGTACCTAATGTAACAATGCAATGATTTGTGGACCCAGGACATACTTGAAAACGAGAGAAATCTCAATGTATCTTTCCTGGTAAAATATTTTATAAATAAATAAATAAATTTATATGATATTAGTATCGAAGAAGCTGGTCTCATTTTTACAAAGTAGATAGCCGAGTAATTTCTTTAAATAAAGTCTGGATGTTCCAGGACCTGTACTGATGTGCGATTCTGAAGTGTAGCATTTGTGTATAGCATGCAGTCGTACTCTGTGTCAAAATAGAAACACGAGGAGTGAGCACAAAGCATGAGATTAAACTAGCCCATTGACCCAAGAGATAAAATTGCATCACTAATTAGAAGGGACTTGCTATTTATACAGTTTTCTATTCCCAACATACCTTCATAGGTAAAGCTTTTTAATGCAAAGGCTCTAAAGTACTAATACATTGTACAACAGGAGAATCCGAATACCAGACTTCCTCAGTACACCTCCCATGAATCACAAACTACAACAAGCACATGAGAAGCAAAGATTCATGGGAATTGTATTTCAGTGGAGGTCCCGTATTTGTATACTCCTGGACATCTTTTTTTTTGGTTATACATCAATGGACGAGCAATAGCTAAACTCTGCAGTGGTAACTTCGCAAAGAAGATATTTGTGGACTAGGTGACACAGCATGTTCACCCAGCCTTTTAAAAACTGTAGCCATGCCAAGGTTTGCCAAGACGGCGCCAAACTGCAGATTTGTTTACTGGCATTAGCAAAAGCCAACAGGTTAATCTGCAATTCTAGCAGGTAACACCTGAGTTCATGCTAGAAAGCAAATACTGAAATAATTATTGCATAGGGAGGTTTTAATAAGAGCTTTGAGAGACTGTCTTCAAATACAACAGTGTTGTATACAGTCATCTCCAATGGTGCACTGCTATCCAGTGTGACATTTTAAATGTTTTCTTTGCATATTCGGTCTAAACTCAATTAGCTGGGGCAGTTTTAAAATAAATATATATATATTTTTTTTGTGGAAGGAAGAGGGGCTTAAGATGCATACTAAAAAAAATAAAAATAAATAAATACCTTAAAAGAATGATGTGACACTTGCTATATTGTAAGTGCTTAGCTAAACAGCATTTGACAGAAACCCAATCACGTCAAAGACGGAGTAATGATTTGCACTGGTAGAAGCTAAATCGTCAGGTCAACATAATTTTGAAAAGCAGCCTCCCCTCAGCCTGCAGTGTTCTTGAGCGCAATTTAAACAGCTACTACAGCGAAAAAAAGATCATTACAAACATGATTTCAAAAATTCCTGATGGGCAAGCAGAGAGAGGCACGTAGAAAACCAGACACGCAGCATCAATTTAAAAAATAATTATGTTTGAAATGTTCTATATTAGCCAGAACAGTGTTGCAAAGCAGCATTTGAAATTAGTTGTTGCAACATTTATATTTTATACTGATCAAAGCACAGCTAAACACTAGGCGTTTATTTCATTAATCTGGGACCTGCGGAGCAATGAAATAGGAAGAGCACATTCTGGAACTGCGGAGCAATGGAATAGGAAGAGCACATTCTGGAACTGCGGAGCAATGGAATAGGAAGAGCACATTCTGGAACTGCGGAGCAATGGAATAGGAAGAGCACATTCTGGAACTGCGGAGCAATGGAATAGGAAGAGCACATTCTGGAACTGCGGAGCAATGGAATAGGAAGAGCACATTCTGGAACTGCGGAGCAATGGAATAGGAAGAGCACATTCTGGAACTGCGGAGCAATGGAATAGGAAGAGCACATTCTGGAACTGCGGAGCAATGGAATAGGAAGAGCACATTCATTCTAAGTCCAAACAATCACACAGAATTGGAATTTTATATCAGTCAACTATTTTGACCTAAAGTTTTGCAAGTTCCACTTGAGTGATTAATCCCTTATAAGAACATTTGACACGAAAAAAACCCAGACACTTTAATTGGAACAAATCATTGATGGAAATTACATAATTTTCAGTCTGGCATTAATTTGTTTCTGTTATTAAAATCAATTAAAATCCTCTCAAGATTATTTTTCCACAATGATTACAGTCATCATATTTTCCTCTTTTCTTATCTGTTTATGATCAGGTCACATTTATGTTAACTGCTTTGCTCTTATTGACCTCCACGTTAGGCCAGCGAATATAGGGTATTGTAACACATTACTTAAGCCATCGCACAGCCAACCCAGACATCCAAATACAACTGGACACCCACCTGCCACACTTGTTAGGTCCCCCCCATGGCCTGCTAATAGATGGCTCCATTGAGGTGACCGCATCAATAAAAACAGAAATCTGTATAATTTAGCAGTCTTATCAGCATTTGTTATATCGACCAGAATTTTTCAATCCAATAAGGGGTATTTTTGTTAGCATACCAGATTTATGAGCTGATTTTTAAATATGCATCCAATGCAGATGGGCTTCAATAAGAACAGTGACTCTGCAAAGCAGAAAATATCTTAATTTACACATATCTTTTCAATTTTGCTTTAGAGGAGAGGTATATTCAAAATGGAACAAATTACATTAGAGAATGGTCCCATAAAATTAAAGGGGATACCTTGAATACCATGAACAAAGCTATATTTTGTAGAAGCCAACTACAGGACTCAAAGAAGATTGTTAAAATATGTTTCACAATAAAATGCCAACTGCCCAATGTATTATTGCATGAATTAGAATACAGTCTTTAATGCCATTTAGAGTTAAAATAGTACAAGCCCACATAATTTTGTAAAGATAGAATATCATTCTTTTTTTAAACTTCTAACCAAAATGAAACTTCCTGATTCACATAGTATTACATTTAACTTATCTCTCCATATGCTGAACATTTGTTTGTATATTGTATATGAAGCTAGTTTACAGGAAGATGAAATTATGCTATTTCCTGTACCATAGTACCATATGTTCATCAAAAAACACTTTCCTGTATGATTTATGAGTATAAAAAGGGACTTTTGGATCCATGTACTTTGCAACATGTATTAAAAGCAATCCAAGATCTGCATAGAGAGAGTTGTAAAACAAAAAAATATATATTAGGGGAAATCCGATGGAAGGTCCCAAGATGCTCATATTTATTGTAGGACAGAGAAGTCAACCTTTGCGTTCTTCATAGAAATACTAAACGAATGCTCTATATGCCAGAAAGCCCTGCTTACTGCATGTTACAGGCTTAGCCAATGACAGGCTGGATAAATCTAAAAACACTTGCTAAATGAAGTCATGTTCTTCACAACACAATAGAAATGTGTCAAAAAACAAATAACAAAATCATACCATCAACACAATACAGAACTGTTAATGGTTAGACTAAAATAGCCTAACTGAAAAGTGACAAACTATACTGTAATCCCAGCTCAACTATCTTTGCCTGTAATGTGGAATCCCTCGGTCAATAACCAACTTATCCCGGGTTAGAGAATAAATCTATTATTAAATAGCATTAAAAATTATAGCTCTGTAACTTGGAGGGGGGGGGGGATCCTTGTGTCATATCCCCAGAGCACACAAACTAAAAAAAGCAATGTTATTTATTTTTAAATAGGTCATGGATTTTGACATGGAAATTCACATTTAGGAAGAGGACATTGCCCTCCTTGAGTAAGCATTACAGTTGATGGAGCACTAGATAATCTCACTGCCCATTGCATTTTATTTTGGCTGCTATTTTGAAAGTGACAAAGGCTGACAAAACAGTGATGCAATCATGAATTTGCAAGCGCAATAAAGTAATTACATTGTATCTGAAGAATAAGCTACCACAATCTCACACTCTTACAAACAATACAATTCTATGTTAAATTTACCTTTTTTTTTTTTTTATATGGTGTATAAATGTTATTTATATATTTTGTATGCACGTGATACAGCTATATTTTAAATCACATTCACACTACCTATGCATGAAGTTTGGACTCTTTACAAAAGGAAAGCCAATGGTGTCCATTCATATGTTAAAATTGAGTTTTCCCTTGTGATTTTAGTCCAGGTAGATAGGAGTTGTCCTTCCCATAATTTTATTAAAATGATGAAGTACTGGCTACCTCATAATAAGTATATTGAATGTTGATCAATATAATTTACAGAGGGATCCACTCAAAAATAAAACCACACTTATTCAAGATGACTTTTACAAATATCAGAGAGCAGTAATAAAATATTCACTATAAGAAGTGGCAAATACATAATTAATAAGCAAACAAGTCAGCTGCTCGTAGGGCAATACACACAGTGACTGATTATTATTTTTAAAAAAAAACATTTTTATTCAAATACTATTTTTTTTTTTTGCTTATAACTTGCAAACCAATTTATGGAGACTTTGAGTAATACAAAGTATCGTGGGTAAATTATTTTTAATTATAAAATTATCTATGTGTACGTACACATCTCAATGTTCAAAAATCAAAACATAAGGTCCGCAAATAATGTATACTAGCAAAAGTAATCAGGATTGTATGTCACAAAGCTCACAACTTCACTTCCTAAAATATTATATGTGTATATATATCAACACACTAAATACAACAAACAATAATTTTGGTTGTCACAAATACATCTTGTCTGTACAGCCTCAACAGTAACAATAAACAAGTGAAAAAAAAAAGTGGGAAAAACCCACAAAACATACAGGTGGATAACAAAATGGAAATTGACAGGTGAAAAAAATTAAATGGAATGGGATTGATGACAGAGTGTTTATAGAGTTCTCCATGATCAAGAAAGATGTGCACCTTTTTCCACAGCCACTTGAACCAGTCATTGTGTCCCTTCTCGTTTTGATACATAAAAAAACATTGACATTTTAAATTGGTATATGAAGTGAAAACAACGCAGGGAGAGTCACTTGCGGTTAGGAAAGCCATGCTTCTCTCTTGCTCAGAAGCATAAACTTGGGATGTCTGCCAGTTAGTGGCCAGTCACCATGAGTCACTGACCTAGAAGCAGTCATTTTCTATTCTATAACTCCATCAGTCATTACTTTACAATTGTTCTGTAGCAAGTGTAACCCCTAGCATGCCCTGAGTAGGGGGTGGGGAGGTTAACTCATCTCATGCTAGACAGGGCCTGTCACACATGCAGATGCTGGTCATTCTTGCAGTAAATTGGCTGCTGGCTAATGGAAGGTGATAAGAATTCATTCCTTGAAATGTGACACAGTTTTGGAACTAAATACCATGTTCCTAGTAAAATGTATCCATTTTGTATCAGTTTAGGCATTCTTTAAAAATCCCTTCTAATAGACTGTTTACATTATCATTCCATTACTTCCTGTAAGATACAGGATCAGACAGGCTTGAAAACATCACATTAACTCTACCCATCTCAACCCCCCCCCTCAGTGCTGACACCTCATATCAGAAGCAGTGTGCCTGGGGCACTTACAGCTAGTCAGCAACTCTCACCCTTTCCCGCTGTAAGTTACTAGTAAACAAACACCATTTCACTGCCAGACCCTGTGTACATCCCCCCCACTTCCCCCCAGGGTGTGTGTCCTCTCCAGTAATGTCACTGTGCCAGATTACTAAGGTACATGATTACCTCATTTCCATGGGACCTAAAAAGGTCTAAATCACAGAACCAGACATCCACCTCACAAGAGGGAGGCAATCCACAGCCACACAAGCAACCCCAGCCCTGATCACAGAGCCATCCATTATTAAATCAGCAATGGGGTGTATTTTCTTGCAAACTTTCAGCTGGTGTTAATTCTATTCTGCAGATATATAGCTCCAGCCAGGATAGTCATTATATTAGCTGTGCTTCCCGATTATAAATGATCATCCAGTCTGTGCCCCCTCTCCCCTCCTCTTTTCTCCAGCCTGGGCTGAGTCAGACACAGGGGCTGAGAACAGAAGCACAAACATGGCCATTTCTGCCAACAATGCTACATACAGCACACTTACCCCTGCTGGGAAGCACAGATCATGTATCCAAACAGGCTCCTTCTCCAGGGCACAGACACACAATGGAGAGAGAAAAAAGATCCAAATTCCTCTCCAAATCCCACAGATCACCCTCAGTATGTAGGTGACAGATAGTCTGTGTTAAAGAGCAGTGAAGGCTGCATGCTTGGCTCCCCTCTCTCTGCCTTGTTCTGGTTCCCCAGCTCTAGCAGCTGCTTGCTTCCTCTGTCTTCCTCTGTAGTTCTGGGCTCTGCAGCAATGTCTGAGTGTCACTGGCTCCCCGCAGCTCTAATCCTCCTCCACCTCACCCGGCTCTGCACACAGGCCCTCCCACTGGTGTGCCATTCATCCACACAGTCAGGTCTCTTAACCCTTCCACCCACACTGATGCACTACAGCCACTGGATACATAGTTGCACTGCAGCATCTAAACATGTGTAGCTGAGATCATCACCTTCAAAACTTCATTCCCTCAATTTATTTATCTATCAAAGAAAGGGAGGGAGTGAGGACAGAGCCTTAAATCAGGACAAATCTTGTGACTGTAAATGAAAAATAAAAATATAAATCAAAACTCAGAGGAAACATTGTAGTCTGATATTCTGTGTATGTTGTCTGACACTATTAACCCTTCGCGTGACCGTAGGTGATGAATGCAATGTGAGCGTATTAGTGGATTTATGGACTTTTTGTGCTGTTTTTCGTCTTCTAGTTTTAATTTGTAGTTAAATGTATACTTTTCAAACACAAAATGAACCACTTAAGGACACATGACGGAAATATTCCGCCATAATTACCTTTTATTTTAGAATCTGTATCCTTAAGGCAGGGGTGCCCAAAAGGTAGATTCCCAGATGTTGCCGAACTATAACTCCCATGATGCTCTGCATGCCTTTAGCGTGACAACGCATCATGGAAGGTGTAGTTTTAAAGAGAGCACCTCTGCCTTAAGGGGTTAAAAGGGTCTGCCAGCTTCCTCGCTTCTGTCAGTCGATCACTTATGTTTATATTTGCCCAATGTAAAACTGTGCTTCGGGGTATGTTGGCACTACTTAAATGCTAATAATAAAAATAATTTTAATGATTGTCTTCATCCACCACATTGTGGTGTAAAATGTTTGACAGCCATATTCACACACAGAATTAGTATTACAGTTATATGGATACAACTGTATTAGTCTATAAAATCTGTAAAGTGCAGTTGTGTACAAAAAGCAAACAAGTAAAATAAAAATGAACAAAAACAGTTATACAAATAGATTTAAAAAAACCTATGAATTTATTATGAGGAAAAATAAACATTTTAGTTTATTTTTACAAGTCTGTTGTCATTGTGAAACAACAACAGTTGATACTGGTTAACCCATCTCCGTTGTACAGACCCATTTCCTATCACATATCCTGCATTTTTTCCTGTGTCTCTCACAGTATTGCACCATTGCGAGTCGCCTCTCTAATCAGTTGACTCTTACACAATTCTACTTCCTGCTGATTGTGTCCCGTTATCTCATGCCAAGCTATGGTATAATACACTTTCTTCAAAATTATCTTTTGTATGAATTTGCTGTTTTTAACATGCTCTAATTTATACCGATTCATATCGTCCACACATTGTAAGATTAAATATTCTTTGCCACATTCAGAGGAAAATAAATTATTTCAACGGGACATTTTTTAAAATGTATTCATAATATACATAAATAAAATACTTAAGTAAATATAATAATAAACTAAAACGGATCTACTTCTAAATTAAGGAACTGTCACTACAGAGAATTTTGTACAACCTGGGAGCTAACCAAGAGTTGGAAATGGTTTGTACTTTGTACTTTTATTTTTCTAAGGTTTTCAGAATTTATTTTAATATACATAGTATGACTGTTTGTCTAGGATCTTTATGTAAATTATACTGTACACAAACAGCACATTACACAACTGTTACCTGTTAAAAAAAAAAATACTTTTGGTGGAGTAGTCCCACTGACACTACCAAGCTACTGCAATAACCAGAATCTCTACATGATTGAACATGGGCATTTAAGGCCCTAGACGGATACCTATGTTATTTATGTTATACTTATTTGGAGTGTAATTTAGATAGGAACTGTTAATGTTTAAAAAATAAAAATGACTATTACCCTTTTTTTCCGAAAAGAACACTGCATTGTTAATTTTACTAAATTATATTTTTTTATAGCACTACTCTATAGCTCTACTGTAGAGTGAGGAATTGATAAATATCCCCCCACTCCCAAAATAGGAAGAGGTAACCCTAAACTGTGATGACCTTTTGACCTTTACTTGGGGATATGAAGAAATTCCTATGCCTACCAATACTTTATATCAGTCCCAGTATACCGACTTACAAATAACTTTAAACTGAAAGAGTCATAAGAGTTGGGCTATGCCAGCTACCTGTCCTCCTTCAATTTTAAATGAGCTAATGTTTACTGTTAATGTAAATCCCAAGACATTATGAAATAGTTTGTTAGTGCCGGGTTGGGCTCACCAGAGGCAACCTAGAGAATTCACTGCCAAACACCTCTTTAAAGGGACACAATTAGTATCAAAACAACTAGCTTAATGAAGCAGATTTTGTGTGTAGATCATGCCAATGCAGTCTCACTGCTCTATTTTATTACATGACCAGAGGCTACATATTTTGCTTAACTTTCTTGACTAAAACTCCATAGCAGCACAAGTTTGACTAGAAACAGAAGCAACCAATCAGAAAACAAAAATATAGAATGTGACGGCAGATAAGAACCATTCGGCCCATCTAATCTGCCCAATTTTCTAAATACTTTCATTAGTCCCTGGCCTTATCTTATAGTTAGGATAGCCTCATGCCTATCCCATGCATGCTTAAACTCCTTTACTGTGTTAACCTCTACCACTTCAGCTGGAAGGCTATTCCATGCATCCACTACCCTCTCAGTAAAGTAATACTTCCTGATATTATTTTAAACCTTTGCCCCTCTAATTTAAGACTATGTCCTCTTGTTGTGGTAGTTTTTCTTCTTTTAAATATAGTCTCCTTTACTGTGTTGATTCCCTTTATATATTTAAATGTTTCTATCATATCCCCCCTGTCTCGTCTTTCCTCCAAGCTATACATGTTAAGATCCTTTAACCTTTCCTGGTAAGTTTTATCCTGCAATCAGGGGCGGGCTGGGCCGGGGGGCAGGGAGGCAATTGCCCCCCAGGCCGCCCTAAATTCTGTCAGGACCGGCCGCTGCAGGGCCGGCCCTTTAAATGCTGCAGCCGCCTGAGCGCTCTGTTATGAGCCTCAGGCGGCTGCAACACATATTCTCCCCTCCCCTGTAGCTGGCCGAGCTCCTCTGCTGTCCGCGGTGCCCGGCCGGACTGATAGGAAGGTGCACACTCAGTGTGCACTTCCTGTCAGTCCGGCCGGTTACAGGAAACAGAAACTCCGCGCGGAACAAGAGTTTTTGTTTCCTGCCACTGGCCGGACTGAAAGAAAGTGCACACTCCTTCCTGTCAGTCCGGCCGGCACCGCGGACAGAAGAGCAGCTCGGCCACGCTACAGGGGAGGGGAGGAGAGGTAAGGGGGGAGGGGGAAATTAAGAAGAAGGGGGGAGGGGGAAATTAAGAAGAAGGGGGGAGGGGGAAATTAAGAAGAAGGGGGGAAATTAAGAAGGGGAAGGGGGAATTAAGAAGAAGGGGGAGGGAGGGGAATTAAGAAGAAGGGGGGATTAAGAAGGAGGGGGGGAATTAAGAAGAAGGGGAGGGGTGGGGGGATTAAGAAGAAGGGGGGAGGGATTAAGAAGAAGGGGGGAGGGATTAGAAGAAGGGGGAGAGGTGCAGGGATTAAGAAGAACAGGGGGGTGGGGAGATTAAGAAGAACAGGGGGATTGGGGGAATTAAGAAGAATGGGGGGATTAAGAAGAACGGGGGTTAAGAAGAACAGGGGGAGTAAGAAGAACACAGAGAGGAGGGGGAAGAGTAAGAAGGACACAGGGAGGAGGGGAGAGAAGGGGAGGTGAGGAGATCACAGGGAGGAGGGGAGAGAAGGGGAGGTGAGGAGATCACAGGGAGGGGAGGTGGAGGAGATCACAGGGAGGGGGGGAGGTGAGGAGAACACAGGGGAGGTGAGGAGAACACAGGGAGGGGGAGGTGAGGAGGAACACAGGGAGGGTGGGGGAGGTGATGAGAACACACAGGAGGGTGGGGGAGCAGCAGAACACATGGGGGGAGGTGGAGGAGATCACAGGGAGGGGGAAGTGAGAAGAACACAGGGAGGGTGGGGGAGTGAGAAGAACACAGGGAGGGTGGAGGGAGTGAGTAGAACACATGGGGGGAGGTGAGGAGAACACATGGGGGGGGTGAGAAAAACACAGGGAGGGAGGGGGCTGAAAAGAATACTGGAGGTTTGGGGGGGTGGGGGGATGAGAAGAGCACAGGGAGGGTGGGTGGGTGTGAGAAGTGACTGCTAAGGAAGGGGGGGAGAGACCACTAAGGGGCAGAGGAGAGCTCTATAGGACAGGGGGCAGGACAGGGAGCTCTTTCACACTACGCGCACACACACAATACATCCCTATACATACACAAACACACAATGCATCCCTACACACACAGAGAAACACACAGTGCACCCATTACACACAAAGACAATGCATCATTACACACAAAGACAATGCATCATTTGCACACATACACAGAAACACACAATGCAAACCCTTACACACATATGCAAACACACACACTGCTTCTCTTACATATACACAGAAACACAATGCATTTCATACACACACTCAATGCACACACTGCAGACACACACCTTGCATCCCTTATGCATACAAACACAGATTCACACAATACATCACTTATACACAAACACACACTGCCTCCACTACAAATACACTGCATCACCTACACAAACTGGTATCCCTATACACTACATACCATAAGTACACACATTAGATCCTCTACAATAACACATCCCCTACACACTCCACTCCCTGTGAGCGAACTCATGGGTGGAACATCTAGGTGGACTTTTAGGTGGGCCTTATAGGCATACTCACCGTCAGGCCCTGGGACCCAGACCTTGAGCTGTTTAAGGGGCCCCAAAAAATGGAGCTGCTTCCCATTCTACTAGAACTTTGAATTTTG